CTGCTGTAGAGAACAACCTCACAGTGCTACAGAAACAGTAATTCTCTTGCAGTTCTGGAGCTCACAAATCTGAATGTCAATGTGTTACTGGTCTGGCTCCTTCTGCAGGCTCTCAAGTCCATTTTCCTGCTGCCTTAGTTTCCCAGGCTGTCCTTATGCCTTGGTTCATGTATCTTTGTCTTCGGCAGCAGGCAGCACCTCTAAATTTTCTATCACCTGTGTCTCCTCCCCAGATCTACTGCTTCCTACTTTCAAGGGCCTGGTCAGGATAATTTCTTCATCTTAAAGTCCTTAATCATCAGCGAATCTCCCATGAAGAGTAACAAAAGTTAACTCTGAGGCGGGGTGTGGACATCTTTGCAAGGCTGCTATTCTGGTCGCTACAGGAAGTAATGGGAGCAGTCTATGGGAAAGATGATGTGCACATTTCACCTGCTTGTGTTCATGCAAATAAAAACCATGCTAGTCAACTCTGCATTGCTGTGAGACATGCAAGATTAACTTGGCTCATGTTTCCAGTCCAGGGGCACCTGGTTTTGTTGCTTTGGGCCTGTGTTGAAAGCTGCTTACCTCACAGAGGGCTAGAAACAGACACAAAGCACCTTGGTCCCAACAGACTCTTCAGGGATATGTCCCCAGTGACTAGCTTCTTCCCTCGGTGCCCCTTCTCCTTTGTTTCCACCACTTTCCAAACTTTACTTTTCATACTATTTGAACTTTGCCCCCAAGCAAATCAATGAGCTCTTGGGCAATGTGAATACACACACAATGGAAGATAGCGGGGACGAGACTGTGCAATGTGAACACACACAATGGAAAATAGCGGGGGCGAGACTGTGCCCTGTTGTGTGCCCTCATGCCATGTCAGCGAGTGATCCCCTGGCTCCCTAGAGTGCTAGAAGCTATAGATACTAGGAGCAAAAAGAGCATTTTAGTGTGGCTCAGGTAGTAAGGCAAGAAGAAACAGGACTTGGTCTGGATAAGAATGAGCAAGTCAACAGATAGGGGGCTAAACTCAGCCTCCGGAAAAGTATTAAAGTAAGCGTGTAAAAGACTGTGAGCACAATTACATGATGCTTTCTTAAATGGGAATAAGTAGGAGGACTATATGCTTCACACATACACTGCAACGCTGATTGTTGTTGAACATCAAACCATAAGTAAATATAGGCAGCAGTTGTGTAGTATGTAGGATGTATGTATGTAGTATGCAGTTGTGTAGTATGTAGGATGTATGTATGTAGTATGCAGTTGTGTAGTATGTAGGATGGATGGATGTAGTATGCAGTTGTGTAGTATGTATGTAGTATGTAATATGCAGTTGTGTAGTAGGTAGGATGTATGTATGTAGTATGCAGTTGTGTAGTATGTATGTATGTGTGTAGTATGCAGTTGTGTAGTATGTAGGATGTAATATGTAGTATGCAGTTGTGTAGTATGTAGTATGTATGTATGTAGTATGCAGTTGTGTAGTATGTAGGATGCATGTATGTAATATGTAGTATGCAGTTGTGTAGTATGTATGTATATAGTATGCAGTTGTGTAGTATGTAGGATGTTTTCTCCATTTGTTATGTTCCATAAGCCATTTTCCATCTCCTCATCCCATCTTCCTGCCTGACTTACAGAGCAGTCCAGCAGCCAGAGGTGTCTTAGGGTCATTTACACATGCCCTGTAGCCCCCCGGTGGCTCTTCATGAGGCATGTTTCCATTCTGTATCTTGTATTCATGGGAAACGTCACCTTGACCAGTTATTATTCCTGACAGAGCAGAGAGCCAAGTGTCTTCATCTGCAAGTCTGTGGTTACTGTCCATTCTGCTCAATCTGGCCTTTTCAGAGGCAGCGGGGCTCAAATTGGCACAATAATCACTATAGACATAATATATGATTATGCCTGGCCTTTGTGTGAGCAAGGACTAGGGAGATAAATCAAGACATGGGCTTGGACCTCAAGAAGCAGCCACACAGAGACCACTGACAAATATACCTAGGAACGTAGGTTCTACAACAAAGGCACAACAAGTGGCCAAGGAAAGACACATGTAGAAGTAATGGATTCTGGGAGATTCACAGAACGCAAGAGAAATGCTGTTTAAATTGAGTTATCTTAGATATACAAGATTTTGCATTAGGGAATAACCACCTAGTCCAAGGCACAGAAAGAGGATGAAGTATATAGAGAACCTAATGAACAAGCCAAGGTATCAGGATGGGACACATTTTCTGCTTGGGAGAGTAGTATCAGGCAGAGAAGGCAGGCCTGGCTTACCAAAGCCCTTGCTGGGAAGGTGTATACCAGGCCTTCTATAGGCCATAGAGACCTTGTAGGAATCTGTGTTCCTAGATCAGGTTTCTGATAGGAGCACAACATCATAGGTACTATGGGGCCCTTGGTGAGCTCAGCAGGCTTTTCAGGCAGTTCTTCTGCAGAGGGCCTTCAACACACACTACACAACATGGCCTCATGCTTGGCTGCTATTCTTTCCTCCATCTGGGTTCCTCAGGCCTAGTAAGTTGTTCATTCCTCTACTACACAGAACAGCTCTCCACCCCATAAACTCTTGGGCTCGGCTCGTGTTCGAACCTGCATGTTCTGTGTTAAATGATTCTAGGAAGCTGTTTTATCCTTTAAGCAGATATGAGAGGTGGCACCGTCTTTTCACCTCAGCTCACATCTACAAGAACAACAGCAGCAATGCTCAGAACTTTCTACATAATAGGAATTATCTATAAAACATAACTGTGCTTGAGAAATTCGATATTCCCCAAATCATTTCAGCATTGAATATCCAAAGTAGGAATAACCACGAACACTTTGTTAAACCTGTTTTTGTAAAAAATGGTTTATTTGTTATAAAACATTAAATACTAAAGCTAAAAACATATAAATTCAGGTCAGGCTATATTAAAATACATACATACCCTTTGCAAAATCTGATTAAAAGTTGAATTAAACAAGATGCTTTAAATAAAATAATTATTCTTCAAATTAAACCTATTCTTCATATTAAACCTAATTGGTTATATCAGTGTAGTATCATTTGTAAAATTACAGTTAAAAAATTTGGCCATCTTGGAAGTCAAATCCATCTGATTCCTCAGTCTTCCAGGATCCGGATGAAGCCCCAGTACGGCTTGCACAGGGGTGGGCTTCAGTCTCCAGCCAGTTCTCTCTCTTCTGTGGTAGAACAGGGAGAAAGTAGCCAGCAGCATACAAGGGATGCTTAATATGACGCAAACCTGGCCCTGAAGGAAGGGGCCTTATTTCTACTACACAGTATCCTCTAACTAAAATGCGTAGTAAATATATTGAAGCAGAAAATTTGCATACAGCCATCTAAAATAATCCTTTGAGTGGGAAACAACCCTGAAAGCCAGCATGAATTTAGCCATGATCATTTTAAGTATTTGAAACTTCTTGTTACTTTCAATTGGGTGAATTCCATAGTACTGAGGGGTCTGTATTCAAATGTGCTTAAGAATTCACTTCTGTTCTGCCCCAGTCACTGTCACAGGTAGTGGGGAAACCTCCAGAAAAAACACTCGAGACCACCTGTTTGCAAATTCGGCTCCCACTCTGGAGAGCGCCCTAGTTAAATGTTAACATCGTATTTCTGAGAAAATGTTTTGTTTCTCAACTCCTATTTTTCAATTTCCTAAGCTTTTAGAATTTTAATTGCTGTGATTAGCACAGAGGGTGAGTATATGCATTCAAGTATCAAAGGGCTACCATTGGATCTACAATCGCAAAGGACCTTCTAGGTACCGCTACATTAACTGTTCTTTACAATGCTAAGCCACCAAGTGGGACTTGCCAATAGGTGTGTAACTTAAAATGCAAAAACCAAAACGCATTCTAATAATCTTCACTGACACAGCACAATTAAAATGAGTTCTCTCGGGGATCTAGCTCCAGGAGCTCTTTCCCCCTTTACTCTAACAGTATTGCTATGCAGAAGAGAGTCTTCTGGATGCCACCCTAACACTACAGGGTGAACTGCTGAATCAAACTTTTGAAAAGTTGGAAAAATATGCATATTAAAATCGCTGGAAATTAGGACAATAGAGCCCAGCACTAAATTACAGATGCCATGATGTTAGCACTGCACAGCAATCTGTATTTTCCATGCCCAAGCTGTGCGCATCTTGCAGAATCATTTCTGCAAACACGCGATATAAGAGAACTATTTGGCTTTCCCAGCCCACACTGTCTCTCCATTTTTTTAAACCTTCTTAGGTGGCTTTGCTATTTCATATCAGATGGCCTTTCAGTCCCTGGAAAGAACTCAATTCAAGCCACTGGCATCCTAATCTTAACAGATACATTTAAAAGAAAGAATACTTCAGCTTTTGTACCCAAGTCTCTAGAAGGCATTTTTTCCTGTGATTATCTCTAAAACTTTATTTAGTCAGGCTACTGACTCACTCTTATCAACTTCCTGGCTTTACATATTGATCAAGAAAGTACTGTTCTGGGATAGAGCAAGAAGTAAGTTAGTGTCCCAAAGTCAGCCGAAAGCATGTCTTTCTGCCAGAAGAGGTCGCTGTGGAGGCACTAGGTGGAGCAAGCCTCCCAAAGGGGGCCTCTCCACTCTGCTCTCCCAGCATCCACAAATCCTCTGCTGCGCACTCTTGGAGTGAGGTTTGAATAAGAAAAGAGCATTTTAATTACCTCATCTAGCCTTGATGCAGGCAAGGAGCCCAGTCCTACCTCAACTTGATGGCCGTGCTTTCTTTGTTCAAGCCCACGGGAGGCCTGCCCCTTTCTGAAGGGAGACAGAGGAGTGGATGGGAGGGGGTAGATGGGAGATGAGGGAGGGAGTAGGAGATTAGGAGGGAGAGGAAAATGTGGTTGATATGTAAAATAAGTGAAAAAATGATTAAATAAAATAAAATTTTTTAAAAAGGCATTTTTTTAGCCAGGCATAGTGGCATATGCCTTTAATCTCAGCACTCCAGAGGCAGAGGCAGGCAGATTTCTGTAGGTTCAAGGCCAGCCTAATCTACAAAGCAAGTTCTAGGATAGCCAGGGCTGTTACACAGAGAAACCCTGTAGAGAAAGAGGGAGAGAGAGAGAGAGAGAGAGAGAGAGAGAGAGAGAGAGAGCGAGCATTTTCCCTCAATAGGAATTTTGGGGAGCCAGTGCAAAGTGAAAATATGGAAGCCTTCTTTCAAACATTTTTAGGAATTCAACAGTGTACTAGCAGAGCCTAAACAAGTGCCAGGCCTTTCTAAGTGTGGGAGCTGCAGAATCCAGAAGGTTGCACAGCAATAACTGCTTGCCCTGACTGGGTTTGTGGGAGCTGCAGAATCCAGAAGGTTGCACAGCAGTAACTGCTAGCCCTGACTGGGTTAGCCAATCGGCAAGCAGATGTGGTTGCATGGACCAGATGGGCAGATGTTCTTCATTATATCGATTCAAACACGCCTACTGAACTGGAACCAGCTGGTGTGTGACTGATGGATGGCAAATTCCTATTCCTAAAACTTCACGCTGCACTGGACAGCACTCCTCCAAATTCAGTTACACTTGGCTTTTAAATGGCCCTTATTTTAGCAATCAGTCAGACATGATGAAATTTTTGTATTTATCCTTGATGATATTTTTAAAATTAAACATCTCTTAATGAGGAGAGGTTTAATGCTATTAAAGCAACGGGGCAACCTAGAGGAGAAGCCACTGTCCAGGAGATTTATGTTCTGGGCGAAGCCTTAAAGTCTGTGCTCCCTTTTAAGACCTCTGCAGCCTTCAAAGCTAATAAGAAGCTATATGGTGTTTTTAAAATACCATACTGATTCAATTATAAGAATTTTACTGGAACCCAGAGGTACCCATTCTTCATAACAGTAAAAAAGTATGTCTATACACAAAAGCTCAGGTCACATGACTAAACAGCGACATTTCCGGGAGTGGATATACTTCCTGTACTCTGCCAGCTGCTTCAAGTATATGTTTGATGGCCATCTGTGCTTCTCAACAAAACTTCGTTCTTCCACTGAAATTTTAAAGGGGAAAAAAGTTAATTACATATATTTTTTTTGTCAAAATGAAATACAAACATTTGATTGTTACGTGACAGAGGGGTTTAGTCTCTTATATCCCCCACCCTTCCCACAGCCTTCCAGAATGGGTCAGAATCTGGATAACAGCAGCCGTCAGGATTTATAGCACTATGTGGTTAATGCTGACATGCACTGCTCCAGCAGGTGGGATTTCACTGCTTCCCTTTTCTCTTTCAATACAACGTTTGCTTTCACTGGAGATAACAAATCCATCTTTCTTTGTGGATAAGCTGACCTTTCACACTCTATAAACTCGTCCTGACTCTACTTCCCCTCCAGTGCAGGCACCAGCTAATCTACTCATTCCCCTTGGGATTCCCTACTCCGGAGTCTACCGCACCGCGAGTTCCTGGTCTTCCGGCTTGCTCCTCTAGCCTCCCTGTACACCGTGCGCTCTGGACCCACTTCCATAGAAACCTGACTTCAGTCCAGGCCCGCACCCTACGCTCAGCTACACCCAGAGTCTACAAATCTATGACTTGCTGGGCTTGAATTTCTAAGCTTCCCATTTCCTATAAATGTTGGCTCCACCGGTAGGGAGATGCCTACCAAATGCTTAGTCAGCATTTATGAATTTCACTGTTGAGACCCCAGGCTTCATCCTGCCTCAGGCACACCTAGGACTTTAAACATTTATGGGTCTGGGATCCCTCCCTTCAGTTCGCATTTCCACTTCATTGTACTTAGTTTGATTCCTCCACCTGCTGTTCAGCTTCATGGGCACGTGGATTAACAATGACCTAGTTATACAATCTAAGTGACAGTAAAAAGGCTGTCTGCTCAGGGGAGTCATTCATTGCTTCATGAGGAAGCAAAGATGAATGACGTGGCCTTGTAATGACAGAACTCCAAACAGCGTGTGGTGGCATACGCCTTTAATCCCAGCAGTTGGGGAGAATAGGCAGGCAGTTTTTGTGAGTTCCAAGCCAGCCTGGTGAACATGGTGACTTCCAGGACAGCGACGGCTACAGAGTGAGACCCTGTCTCAAACACAAACAAACAAACTCAAAATCAAAACAACAAAACTAGAACCCCAGAAAAAAGGTGACTGCAGATGAGCTTTGGCAGCCAGTAAAAACAGCACCGAAACACTGCTTCATAAAACATGGACCCAAACAAACACTGCTTCATAAAACATGGACCCAAACACTGCTTCATAAAACATACCACAATACTTAGCTAAGTTAAACCTATCACGAGAAAAGGAAATTCACAAACATCAAGGGTCAAATTTTCCTGTATGTTGCTATATATCTTCTGAAGTGTCTAGTGTAGGACCGGAGAGATGGCTCAGAGTTGAGAGAGAGCACTTCTTGCTCTTCGAGAGGACCTGGGTTCAATTCCCAGTACCCACATGGCGGATGTCTGTAAATCCAAGATCTGACTCTCTCAGACAGACAGACAGACATGCAGACAAATCAACAATCCACATAAAATAAAAATAAATACATTATATAAAAAACCTGTGTGTTTAACCCTAAGGTGGAATGAGCCAATTTCTAAATAACTTTGGAGAAGAAAAGTTTCACCAAGCACTTGGAAGGCAGAGGCCGCAAGGTTAGGAGTTCAAACCTCTGCTATAAAGCAAAGCACGAGCTGTTTTTAAGATGAGAAAAGTAAAGATGAAAACAAAGGAAAAGAGTGCTGTCGAGAGAAAACAATCAGAAAACTCTAGTGAGACCTGGAGAGCTTCTAAAGCCAACAGCTGACAGCTCCACAGGGAAGCTGTAAAGGGGATGACAGGAGCTGCCAAACCCCAAGCAGGTGGGAAGGGGGCTGGGTATACAATCACCACTGAAAGGGGGGGAAAGACTCCAGCCCTTTGGAGAGGACATGTCCCCTTTGGAGTGGGCAGCCACTTCTTAGTTCCAGGCTTTCCCAGAAGCAAGGCAGACCCAGGGTATCCAACTCTTTTAGATTTTCCCCTGAAGATTTTAAATGGAAGTACTATATAAAAACAACATTTTAAATCGTGGCTGAAAAAAATAAACCCTGGTAGACTTGACTGGAGTCAGCGGTTGCCAGTTCATAACTACTGATTCAGCATATTTCATAATTCTCTGCATGCTCAGAAATCTGATGCCCTCTTCTGGCCTCCAGGGGTACTGCATTCAAGTCAGGCACTTGTTTTTTTTTTTTTTTTTTTGGTTTTTCGAGACAGGGTTTCTCTGTGGCTTTGGAGCCTGTCCTGGAACTAGCTCTGTAGACCAGGCTGGTCTCGAACTCACAGAGATCCGCCTGCTTCTGCCTCCCGAGTGCTGGGATTAAAGGCGTGCGCCACCACCGCCCGGCAAATTGACCGGCTGTTTCCGCCCGGTTGTATATGTAGGTAAAACACACATAAAATAAATAAATCTAGTTTTAAACGTATCTGGCTGAGTATATACAGTCAAAGACAGCTGATATGACCTTCACTGACTTGTAAATGTCTCCAGAGACAGCCTAGTTCACTACTCAGGTCATACAGGAGGGAAAGAGCACAGGTGGCAATGGGGTTCAGGAAAGCTGCTGGGATTCTCAGAACTTCGGACATCCTCTTCTGGTATAGCTCGAGTTGTTAGCTGGGATTCTCAGGACTTCGGACATCCTCTTCTGTTATATCTTGAGCTGTTAGCTGTCAAAATGCTTGTGGTCTGTCCTGTTCTCTTCCTCTGTCTTTTCGGGATCGCCTGTCTTTCTCTGCCTTGCATGTTCTCTTGGAGAAACTGTATCTGAGTTTTCCCAGTGGAAGAACTATATCTGAATTTTCCCAGTCCTGAAACTGGTCTTGTTGTTTCTAAATTTCTCCTCATTGTCACCAAAGCAGCCACTCTAATCCCAGCTCTCCTCTCCTGCCCCACAGGGGTGACCCCTACTCTAACCTTGTCACCTCACATACATTTTACTCTTCTACCACCCACACACACTCTCTTTTATTCTGAGTTTAATGCTCAGTTTCTTCTCCCTAAAGCAGGGTGGAAATTGTATGATCATTGGTATAAATCTTGTCTTGTATGTAAAGGATTTCAGTTCTGTGGGACTTAAGGAAAATAAAACACAAGAGATCAGCCTGCTGCCCTGCTCCAACAGGGACTAATAAACCCCCAGCATTTCCCGGCCTCTCTCTGTCTCTCTGTCTCTCTCTCTGTCTCTCTCTCTTCCTTTCCACACAAACACCAACTGGACAAGAGAGTGACCTGGTTGTAGGAGGCCCTAGGAGTATTTTACTGCTGAGAGGCAGTGTTCACAGCACACTGTAGTGGTGTGTCATTTGTATTTTAATAAACAAAGCTTGCCTGAAGATCAGAGAGTAAGATAGCCACACTGGTCAGCCACACAGACCTGGCAATGGTGGCACACACCTCTCATCCCAGTAGCCACACTAGTTCACCATAGAAGCCCAATGGTAGTGGAGCACGCCTTTAAATCCAGCACCAGAGAGGAATATAAACCGAGATGAGACAGGAACTAGGTCTCTTTTCAGTCTGAGGATTTCTTAGAGGTACGAGCTCTCTAGTGGCTTGACTGCTTTGCTTTTCTGATCCTCAGGTTGAACCCCAATATCTGTCTCTGGATTTTTATTAACCATGCTACAACACACAATTTTCCATGTGTTATCTAGAGGTCCCACATTCAAGCACCCCACAACTCTGCAGAAGTACAGTGAGTGCCTGCAGGGGAAAGGGAAAGGCACAGGCTCCCCACATGGTTTCTGAAGGTTCTGGGGATTATGAAGAGTCCTTGAAACCCTGCATTGAGTTCTGCTGGCTAAATGAACTGAGTAGTTCCTGGGAAAGTTTCATGGTTTTAAAGAATATGGGAGCCAGTGAGATGTTAAAATGACTCCATAGCAGTGAAAACCAGTCTGTGGTTTGTATATCTTCAGTAATTGGCCGTAAGATTGTCATATTTAATGACTGAAAACTAAAAATGTCCCACATATAAAACAGAAACAAAATGATACTTATTGCACAGAAGAGAAATTATGCCATGTTTGTGCTCTTTTGTTTCTTGTCTGAATTTCAGAGGTTGAGGTGGATTCTCATGATAATTTTTTAAAAGAACAAAGACAACCAAGGGAGAGTGCCAGAGGGCTGCCCCTGTCTCTGTTTTAAAAGGAAGAGTAGAATCTGAGCTGCTGCTCTGCATCTTCTGAGATGCAGAGGGTCTGTGTGCAATGTAATCACCAGGGGCCCCGCCTGAGGGCTGGAGGGAAAGGGACACAGGGAGAAGTCAGCGTGTATTTGGTTCTTGATAAGAAAGGTTTTCACGGGAGCATCTTGCACTGGAGTGCAGATAGAGACGCCACTGAGGAGACCACACATTACCCAGAACCAGACTTCCATGCTCTTTACTGGGCTCAGGCAAAGCTCTGACAGGTTATTGGAAGGGAGACCTTGGCATGAGCTAATTTTGGTTTCAGAGCTCGGCTTCTGGGGCCTTGAGTCAGTTACCCTGCAGTCTGTTGGCTCAGTGTCCTGGATGCTCTTATCAAAAGTAAGGGAAGCACACTCCATTAACTGTAGCTAAGATTGCAGCCCATCTACCTTTTATGCAAAGTACCTAATCTTAGACCTTGCTGTGGTCTGCCTGAATAAGAATCATGGAAGAATTGACCGTGGTGTAAAGAGCTGTTTAGAACTACTCCAAATTGAGTCTGTTCTTGGTTCAGATATGCACATCTGCCACACACCCTCACCAGAACCACGAAGCTTTCGCTTTCCTGCTTTCCTGCCAGGATGTACTATCCTCCCTCACACAAGGAGCAACAATAAGCCTACTTAACAGGGTGTTGTCCCAGTAATAGAAAACTGAGATATATGTTTGCATTCATTGCCATAATTAGTAAATTTATACTTGAAACACTAAAGATCCATTACTCATTTTCACTTTTTTCTGACTCTGTTGGTCTGATTGCCCACTCTGATGAACACTCCACCTTTGTGTTCTTTCCTATTACACAGTTCTAGGAATCTCACCCTGTGATTGGTCGCTATGTGGTCTAGACTGGCCTTGAACTCAGGGTCCTATTGCCTCTTCTTTCCAAGTGCGGGGATTACATACTCGCACTATCATGCCTGGCTGACTCATCTAATCATTTACTTTACTTTAAAATTATAATATAATTACTTTCAGTTGGCAAGATGCATAATATTTGGTCAATAAAAAACTTATTACAAAGTTCCTATGTAGATATATACATATAGATTCTCTAAGTATTAAAGATGACATATTATAATAACAATCGATATTTGTATTTCTACGAAAAAAAGCAGTTTAAACTTATATCATTTAAATTTTGCTGCTGACTGACTTAAGTAAAAACTAAGGTCTCATTTATCACAGTCAAATGGCACCTGAGGACACTCTTCACCACCCTAACTCTCCTACCAGAAAAAAAACAATTAAAAATGAATGAGTACTGTAAAATAATCATTGGAACACTTCTTGTGTAACAGGTCAGACTGCTCACGCAACACAGGTGATTGTAGGTGAAAGTGTCTCAATCACACAGCAGAACCGAAAGGATGTGGAGGACACTGCATTTGTGTTTTTATGTCAAAGCACTGCCTTTTATTAATTATATCTCGAACCTCAAAGGCCATACCATTTTCTTTTCAAAGCAGAAATTAGCAGTCTACCTGAAAGGTCTTGAAATTCAGGCTTCTGGCTGAATATGAGGTAGTTGGTGGCGATGAAGTGAAGCAGCCACGTGGAAAGGCAGTCAGAGTGGTGAAACTACAAGGAAATGAAAAGGGAACGATATTATAATCTGCTCTGCTCATGGGAGAGATCGGAGCCCACACCCACGGCTGTGTGCCTGTAAGCACTGCAGTGTTTGGTAACTGTGGCCCCAGAGAGGAGACTGGAGCACTATTAACAAATACTGATAAGGTTAGCTCGTCCAGCAAAACAGCCAAGTCTGCCAGAGCGACAGGGCTGCACCTGCCCCCAGTGAACACTGAGGTTCTTAATGCTTCAATGTAAACTTTTTTTTCTTTTTCTTTTCTTTTTTTTTTAGTTTTTCGAGACAGGGTTTCTCTGTAGCTTTGGAGCCTGTCCTGTCACTAGCTCTTGTAGACCAGGCTGGCCTAGAACTCACAGAGATCCGCCTGCCTCTGCCTCCCGGGTTCAATGTAAACTTTTAACACAAGGTCATCACTAAACACAATCCTATCTCAGACAGAGCTGAGCATTTGCTCCTAGGGTCATTGCTATGTGGAACTGGATCTCTGTGTAATTCTTCTACTTCTGAGTTCTAAGAGCTGCTAATTGAGGAAGACTAAGAGCAGTCTGGCTGCTGACAGAATCTCCTGGGGTCAACCCAGACATGCACTGGTCTAGCCAACCATCAATCTGGATTATAGTAACTCGATGACAGGCAATTTGGGTCAAGTTTTCTGTGATCGTCATTATGTATATACCTAGACATGGTATATACTTAGACGTGGGCAGCTTAGTGGCACTAAGTACAAACAGTACCGTTATCCATCTCCAGATGATTCCATCATCCAAAATTAAACATATTTGCTTAACACAAATAACTTTCTTTAGATTATGCTGTTTTACTTTTTGACACAAGAAGTCTGACTACAGTAGGTACATGCTATAAGAGAAACCATACAATACTTGTCCTTCTTTATCATGTTTCATTTAACACAGTTTCTTCTGAAGGTCATCCATATTGCCATCTATATAAAAGTGCCATTCCTTTTAGAGGCAGAATAACATTCCACATACACATATGCCACATTAGGTTTATCCATTCTTCCTCAGATGGTCTTTTAGGATGCTTTCCTTTTAGCTAAAGGTAGTCTTTTAAGAACACTAAAAAAATTACATAAGCAAAAAGCAATGCTAAATTGGAAAGAATTCTAATTCCATATCTTACAGAACAAACCCAAGGATGATCTTACAAAAAGTTGTATTTTAAATTAGAATAATACTTGACATGTAGATTCACAGTTACCTGTTCTTCTCAGTACACAGAAGTTGTGAACTGAAAGGGATTTCACAGCCAATTCCATATCACATTTTAGTAATTTCTTCTCTGTCTTTTAGCAGATAAAACAAGTTATGCCCAGGGATAGAGTAAAAACCCATAGCTGTGTTAATGGAAGCTACCAGACAACTGACAAAGCAGGCGACCTGGAACAGGAGGGCCAGGGAACAGCCTAAGGGGGAAAAGCTGGCTAAGAAAACTTCCTTCAAATGCACAACCTGAGGTATTATATATTATACAATATATATTAAGGTCTCTAGGCAAAAAATGGAAGGCACCTCATTGTAAAATTAGAGTTTTGGCCTGGCATGCTGGCCTATGCCATTTACCCCAGTATTCAGGAAGCAGAGGCAGGAGGATGTCTCTGAGTTCAAGGACAGCCTAGTCTACATAGAAATTTCCATGCCAAGCAAGGATATCTCTCAAAAAACAAATCAACAACAACAAAAAAATAAAATTAGTGTTTGTGAAATGCATGTGCTATCCTATGATAAAGGGTTTAAACTAAAATAAAATTTCAGAAAATAAGACAAAGAAGCCAATTGGGGAAGCACACGTCTCTGGTACAGTAGATGACAGAATGGATGATGGATGAAAATATAGGCTCCTCGGTAGAGAGCAGGGCTGAGCATAGGGAGGGGCACTGCAACCGTTCTCCTATACCGGAGGACGAGCCATGTGATGGGAAATTTAGATCCGAAGAGCTACTGGGGAGCTTAACTCTGCGAAGACAAGAACCGGGAGGACATACCCAATTCTGTACAAACTGGAAATCTCAAACCTTCCGAGAGGAAGCTGGTGTGTTTCTGTTGTTATGCTAAACACTTACGACAATCATATTACAAACAGGGAAGGTACAGCTCTAGAAGTTTCCATCCATAGCTGGTTAGCCTCTTTCCTTTGGACCTGCAGTAGCAGAACGAGGCAAGCATCCTAGGCAGAGAAAAGTTGTCTCCTCAGGCAGGGATGGAAATGAAAGGAGGAGGGGTTTCCTACAATCCCCTTCAAGGGCACAACACACACACACACACACACACACACACACACTTAATAGTAAAAAAAAAAAAACTTTTATAAAAGGTCTTAAGAAACAAAACTTGGGTTGGAGAGATGACTTAGTGGTTAAGAGCAGCAGCTGCTCTTGCAGAGGACTCAGGTTTGGTTCCCAGCATCCAAAGGGCGACATAGGAGTCTCTGTAACTCTAGTACCAGGGCCCCTGAAGCCATCTTTGGCCTCTGTGGGCACCAGACATACATGTGATATACAGATACACATGCAGATAAAACACCCATACATATATAATAAAATAAACATTTTTTTTAGGTTTGAACAGAAACAATAAAATTTAGGGTAGATATGATAAACTTTCAAACCTCAGACGGAAAACTAAGGAGCGTCAGCAGCTTGATGTGGGATTCCTCTTCGTATGCTGTGAATATATTCTATTACCATTGGTTAATAAAGAAGCTATTTTGCCCAATGGCAGGGCCGAATAGACCTAGGCAGGAAAACTAAACTGAACACAGGGAGAAAAAAGGCAGATTTGGAGATGCCACATAGCTGCCGAAGGAGAAAGACACTGGAAACTTACTGGTAGGCCACAGCCTTGTGGTGATACATAGATTAATAGAAATGGGTTAATTTAAGATATATGAACTACTAGGAATATGCCTAAGCTATTGGTTAAACAGTGTTATAGTTAATAGAGTTTTTGTGTGATTATTCAGGTCTTGGCAGCTGGGAAATTAAAGTGCAGCCTCCCTGTACAACAGCTAGTACTGGGGAAGACAACTCGGAAGGCCTTGTTGACAGAGAAGCAAACACATGGGCAACTGTGGAAGGTGCCTTAAGCCAGTAAGAAGTGATCACAAGGGATGCTCTCCTGCCTACTCACAAATAGGGCTCTTAGCAGAGTCTGAAGAGGATCCACTAAAAACAAACAGAGCTCGGCTAGTAGCGGGAAGCCCTGGGCTCCATCTCCAGCAGGGGCACAGTAAGAACCCCAGTACTCCAGAGGTAGAGGCAGAAGAACTGTGCATTCAAGATCATCCTTGGGGTTGGCCTGGGATAAGTGAGTCCCTGTTTCCAAATAAATTAAATAAAATAAAAATAAAGGAATTCAGGATGCAGACATGCTAACAAGAGGGAAACTTGTTCAAGGTCGATATAAGTACATGAGCCAAAGATAAGGGTTACTTGATTTTTAAAATTTGCTTTTAATATATAATATTAAATTAACATTAATTAATATTAATCATAAATTTTGATTATGACAGAACTGAAGTATAAAATAGTTAAAATGCTCAGATGCTTTGGCTAAATGCCTTGTATACCCAGAAATATATATAATGATTAACGACTTTGCTTCAGCCTGGAGGCAAGCTTTCAGCTGACAAGAGTCTGTCCTTTGTTCCGTCATGTGGCTCCAGCTCAGCATGAACAGGGAAGCCAGACAGGATTTTTGGATATCCCATTCTAGAGTGGTAGATCAAAGATCACCTGTGGGGAAGACCTAGAAGGTGCAGCTTAGGTAGGGCACATTTATGATAAGCTAAGGCCACCTGCAGTTTCAGCACTGGGGAAAATGGGCAATAACTCAGATGGAGGATCCATCAGAGCCAGCTTCTCTCATGAGTGAATGAGTGTATGCTGGGATTTAGACTAGACTCTTATCTGAAGGTCTGAGGGGCAGATTTCAACACACAATTCTTCTTTATGTACAGACCTGGTCCGTCTTCTTCCATATTCTAGAGTCTTTTAAAAAATTAATTCCTATATATGTGCTCTCTCATGCACACACACACGTGCGCGCACACACATACGCGAGTGTTTGCCTGCATGTATGTATGTGCACCTTATTTGTGCCTGTGGACGATTGTGAGCCATCCTGTGGGTGCAGGGGACCGAGCCTGGATCCTCTGCAAGAACAGCAAAAGCTCCTAACTGCTGAGCTACCTCTCTGGTCCCCATATTCTCTAGTATTTCTAACCACAGCTTCTCACAACAGATTTGTGCAAATTGCATGTGTTTTCTAGAATTTGTAGTAGCTACTTCTGAACAGAGAGATCCTGGGCATGGAAGGGGCCAGGAGCCAGTGCAGTGACTCCCAATCTTACACTTTAAATTTCGCTCGATTCCTAACACATAAAGACATGCCAGCCAACTCAACCAATGCTGCCACCATACGACCGAGCAGTGAAAACATGCTCATGAGATGAATGAATAGATGAAGTAGTAGCTCCAGTCACCACGTCATCCGGTATATACAGCCTCATCCTGTATTCTCCTACAGTCACCACGTCATCCGGTATATTCAGCCTCGTCCTGTTATTCTCCTACAGTCACTATGTCATCCGGTATATACAGCCTCGTCCTGTATTCTCCTACAGTCACTATGTCATCCGGTATATACAGCCTCGTCCTGTTCTCCTCCCCCACTAATGCTAAGAAGTGATTTGGGGGGGGGAGAAAATTCTATTTCCTGTAATGTTAATATAAAAAAGCACAGCCACTCTCAAGTAACTGGGATTATGACCACTATTGAAAAAAATTTATATAAACATAATTTCTAACCCAATGAATGCTTCAAAATTACTTCACCATAAAAACTGGTGCAAAGAAACTGTAGCTTCCTTTCGTCACACTTTAAAATGCATACTAGTCTTCACATAGCTGCTAAAACACAGAAAACAAAGTAGTATATGTATATTTTAAATGAAGAGGCCCTCCTTCCACTGACGCCCCGCCCCACCCTCCACACAGGGCCAACCACCTTGGCCTTTTTGAGCAGATCCACAATATCAAGGTTCATGGACGCCAGCTCCCTGCTGGGCATGCTCTGCAGCTGTGTGATGATGAACAGCTCACAGATGTGCTGCAGTCTGGAGACCTGGTACATCTCAGCACAGATGAGGAGACACATGGCCTGGAAAATGCCAGCTGGTGGAAAAGAGGAGACAGAGGGGATGGTTAGACTACGACCGCTTTCAGGGACAGCATGGCTGTGCACACTTTACTTCCATGCTCACACCTGGACTTGGGAGGCTTGGGCAGCTGCTCTATGAGGCTGGAGTCAGTCTGGTCTACACAGTGAGTTCCAGCCTAGCAAGAACTACAGCAGCAGCAGCAACAACAACAAACCCTGTAGGGATAAGTCCCGCCCCTTAAGGGGCGTGTTCGCCTCGGGCTAATGTCTGCCTATAAATTTGGCGAGCAAGCTCCGAGCTCTCGCTTCTGCTTTCCTGGTCTCCGCGGGAACGGTGGTTCTGTAAGTCTATTTCTACATTAAAGCTATATATATATATATATTTTTACACTCTGTCTGCATTCGTTTACGCCGCTACATTTTGGCGCCCAACGTGGGGCTCGAACCCACGACCCTGAGATTAAGAGTCTCATGCTCTACCGACTGAGCTAGCCGGGCAGGGGGCTGGGGTGCCAGGGACGCAGCCCCGCCGCCCTTATTACTTCAAAACCCCAATCACACACACACACACACACACACACACACACACACACACCCTGCTCTAAAACATGCAGACAGTTATCGTTCAGTGTGGACTAGGATTTCAAGGAAGAGTCCGTTAGCACAGTCCTTGTACTACATTTTGTAAATAATTAAGTTTTCATACTCCAAAGAGAATCTCATCCCCAGATCTCTAGAGAAGGATTCCAATAACTGCCCTTAACCAACATATAGAGCTAGCTAATGAAATTTTTCTTTTTTGAGACAAGATCTTACTGTGTAACTCTGGCTGGGCTGGAACTCACTGTGTAGACCAGGCTTGCCTTGAGTGCCAAGAAATCTGCCTGCCTCTGCATCCCAAGTGTGTGCATTAAGAGCTAAACTTTTCTATTAGTTACACTAAATCCCATTGTATCCTCTTTATCCATCTCTATCACAACTCTAGGCTCTCACAACTCCAGGCTCTCACAACTCCTTACACAGTCAAGAATGACCTTCAGCTTCTGATCTAGCTGCCTCTCCCCCTGCATGCTGGAATCACAGGTGTGTACAATTATGCCCAACATAATTGTGTGGATCAAATCCAGGGCTTCCTGATGCTAGGTAAGCACACTACCATTTGAGCTACATCTTCACTTCTAACTTTTGTTTCTTTGCTTTAGTCCCTAGTCTTGCAATTTTGTTTCACTATTGCAAAATTTTAAAAAAAACTAGAATTTTAAATGTGTGTGTGTGTGTAGAAGCATAGGGTATCTGTGTGTGTACATGCCTATGGTATCTGTATATGTGCATGCATACAGTATCTGTTTGTATGTGTATGCATGCATATGCTATCTGTGTGTGCAAACATATGTCATCTATGTATGGGCATGCATATGCTGTGTGTGAGTATGCATATGCTATGTGTGTGTGCATGCATGTTATCTCTGTGTGTGCACATGCATATGTCCTCTGTGTGTGGTCATGTATATGCTATCTCTGTGTGTGGGCATGCATATGTTATCTGTGTGTGGGCATGCATATGCTATCTGTGTGTGGGCATGCATATGCTATCTTTGTGTGTGGGCAGGCATATGTTATCTGTGTGTGCATGCATATGCTATCTGTGTGTGCATGCATATGCTATCTCTGTGTGTTCATGCATATGTTATCTGTGTGTGGGCATGTATATGTTATCTGTGTGTGGGCATGTATATGCTATCTGTGTGTGCATGCATATGTTATCTCGGTGTGTGCATTTGATATCTATTTGTATGTGTCTGTGGAGGACCATGGTTGATGCTAGGTGTCTTCCTGCATTGCTGGCCACTCTATATTGAGGCAGGCTCACTAACAGTTTAGCCTGCTACCCAGTTTTCTCGGGGATTGCTATGGGGATTCCTTCTCTCCACCTTCCACGGTGCTGGGATTACAGCAGGGCTCCCATGCCTACCCCCTTCTGTTCTGGAGATGAGAGTTACACACAGTTCTTATACTTGCCATCAAGCACTTCACTTGATGAGCAATCTCTTAAGTCCCATTTTAAACACTAACAATTTAATGCCATTTACTTATTTCACATGTATGGGGGAGGGGTGTCATGCCACAGTGCCCACCTATGTGGAGGTCAGAGGACAGCTTTCAGAGGTCAGGTCTCTGCTTCCCCATGTGGGTCCCAGGGATCAAACTCAAGCTGTCAGAGTTTGATAACCTGGCCCCATTTTAAATACTGAGGTACTCAGTTCGGTGGTATGAAGCACCCCACACTACAGTGTATTCATTCATTCATTCATTCATTCATTCTCCAGAACATCCATGTAGCAGCAACTCCCCACCTGCGCTCTCGTTCACCTCTGAAGTCACAGTTAAGGTTGTTGGTAGGTTTAGGGCTGTACATATGGGTAAGTTGTAGAGTGCTTGCCCAGTTTTAGTTCCCAATTTGGCACAATCTAGAATCATGTGGGAAGTCTCCACTAGGGGTGTCTGGATCAGGCTGGTGTGTTGTTAGCATCTCTGTGGGGGAGAGCCTGGAGTGTTTTCATGGAGGCAGGAAGACTCGCCCACTGTGGGCAGCACTGTCCCCTAGGCTTCGGTCCTGGACTGCATCAGAGTAGGCAAATGAGCTGAGTAGAAAGAATGAATACATCTATTTCTCTCTGCTCCTGATCATGGATGTTATATAATTAGCTGCCCCAACCTCCTGCCGCCTTAACTTTCCTGAATGGACTTCTGTCAGAATTGTTAACTAAAGTAAATGCTTTCTCCCGTAAGTTACTTTCCGTCAGAGTAGATTCATCACAGCTGCAGAAATGAGAGAAGAACAGTACATTTATAACTTTTACTGTGAATAAATCTTTTACTAAAATATTGAAAAATGAAACTGGATTTTTAAAAAATTTGAGCATGCTACTAAATAATACAATCACTAAAACAATTTGGAGATACCACCTTGATTTGTCCTAATGCATTAGTACAGTTGCATATTTATTTATTTAGGTTTTTAAAACAGGGTCTCTCTGTGTAGTCCTGACTATCTTGAATTCACTGTGTAGACCAACCTGGCCTCAAACTCAGAAATTCAGCCACCTCTGCCTCCCGAGTGCTGGGATTAAAGATGGATGCATTTAAAAAAAATAGTGGTCAAAATTTTTATTAATTATCCAGTTCCCAGTACTGAGAAAAATAATATTTATTTCCCGTAAGAATCAATGCTTTCATTTTCACCAAGCAAAAATAACAAGCCAGTCCTTAATAATATTGGTAGTAACAACTCCAAAACAGCTAACTTGGAGACTGAGACAATTTAATGATAGAAGTAATTTTCTCTTTTGGAAACTCTATATCCTTTCATAGAGGACTCAAAATCTATTTAAACAAATATAGGAAATTTTTTAATTCTAAAAATTAAAGCAACGAGTCTAAAGGGAGGTATAGTCTAAAAGGTGTGTTTTGTTTTTCTTTCCATAGGACTGGCTGCTGGCTAGCTTTTGGGACCAAGGGCATGTGTGGCGCTCATTCCTGCTGTGTTTGAGGAGGCCGCCATCTGGTGGCAGAATGGGAGAAAGCCCTCCAAGGACTTCGATATGTACCACACTTCATTAACTACTAACATTATAATGTGTTCTGGTCAAAGACAGTCTTTGGTTAGTGAATTTAGAAACAGATCCTATAGTCTGCCAGAATCCTAAACATTTCAGGAAAGTTAGAGATGCCAATTTTAGGGGAATCTGGTTTTGTAAGTCAGTCACAGTCTTTAAAAGCCCTCATCCCCAGATCTGGAGGACCACAGGAGTTCACACTAACAAAAGTCCTGAAAACCATTTCAGCCAGATGTGAGGATCACGAAAGCTACTGTCTTGGTATGGCTCCCAAACTCTAAGGTACCCCATTAGGTACCCCAAACACCTCGATTCTCAGTGTCTAGATTAACCAATAGCCTGCTGTTAGCACGAGCTACTGACCCCTGCTCTTTCATTTGAATTAACTAGAATGCAACACTCTCCCTACATCACCCCAAAGCTGCTCAGCAAATACCGTGATACTGACTAATAGACCTTAAACAAAACAGGTTTCCTAGGCAGCAAACTACCAAGATGAGTGAAAAGGAAGAATCACGAGATATTACCTTATAACACACATACGCGTACCTGGGCAACAAGAGTCTGTGTATAAGTATTCTAAAAACGACAAGAAAGTCTCTTTGGAAACGCCGTACACTGGAATCAGGACACTCTTGGCTTCCATGTAATTACCATTAAACATGGCTGCCATCACCTCACACCGTGCCACCAAGATGGCCCTGTGGGCTGGCACAGCTGTTCCTGGAAGGTGAGAGAGGAAAACAAAATCAAGGAAATGCTGCAGAGCTAACAGTGTTTCCCAGCTGGAGTGCCCCTGCCCGTGACAGGCCAAACTGCAGTGCAGAATCACACCAGGCAGACAGGGGGCGCTGCCTCAGAGGTTCACAGCGGCTGAGAAACACAGAGTTCAAAACTTGCCTTTGAACCCAATAATTTACAGATTAGACAAACTTTACTTTAGATTTCCTAAAGACCAAAAAACTGAAATATGAATTTTGCTTTGTGTGTGCATGTATGTGTATACGTGTGTGTATGTGTGTTTTAAATATTTATTATGTAAATTGTTCTGTCTGCATGTATTCCTGCAGGCCACTTCTGGCACCAAATCTCACTATAGACGGCTGTGAGCCACCGTGGGGTAGCAGGGAATTGAACTCAGGATGTCTGGAAGAGCAGCCAGTGTTCTTAACCTCTGAGCCTCTCCGGTCCACTTTGTGCTTTTAGAACAAAGCATTTATCCATCCCGGTTGGCTTGAAATACGCCACCTGTGCCATGTTCCTCCCAGGAAACAGCCCATTGCCCTGTGTGACAAAACTCACAGACTGCCTTGGTCTGACTTCCCCACACGAGAAATGGGAATGGCGGAAGTAAACAAGAAGTGGTCCAAGCCTCATGGGGGAGGGCACTTCTAGACCTTAGGACCATCTGTCACAAGGCCACATTCTTCTCTAGAATAGTCACGGTTTGTGAGGTTCTCTAACCTCTCTAAATCCAAGCAAAGTGCTTCTTGTCCTAGGAAGAAAAGAGGTCCATCTAAACTCACAGATGTTTCCCGAAGCCAATATTTCCTCAGACCCACAAATCAACCACAGATACTGCCAGTTGAGTCCATGGGTTGGCACTGTGATTTGCCTAGTCACCCCAACGAGGAGCAAGGAAACAGTGGAGAGCATCCTACTCCTACCAGCAAACTCCATCCGTCCACCACCTTTTCTTCTTTGCCACAACCCTCCCAGCCAGTGTAACAGGATCATCTACCAAAAGGAACAGCTTCCAAACTTAAAGGATGCTGGATAGATGTGTAGAGACCAATTAAGAAGGAATTCAAATTGGCATTGCAATTTGACTTATGATTTTTAATGTGGGATTCCCCTCTGTTAGCTGTGAATGTGTTTTATTACCATTGGTTAATAAAGAAGCTGCTTGGGCCTATGACAGTCCAGAATAGAGTAAGGTGGGAATTTTAAGCAGAGATAGAGGAGAAAAGAAGGTGGAGTCAGGGAGATGTGATCCAGCTGCTGAAGGAGAAAGATGCCTACCGATAGGCCACAGCATTGTGGTGATACATAGATTAATAAAAATGGGTTAATTTAAGATGTAAGAGTTAGTTAATAAAAAGCCTAAGTTAATAGGCCAAGCAGTATTTGAATTAATACAGTTTCTGTGTGATTATTTCTGGTTTGGGCAGCTGGGAACGAACAAGCAGTCTCTGACTACAGATTTTAGGGCTTAAACTATTTCAAGATAAACAGAGCATCATTTGGAAAATGAGAGCATTGCTTAAACACACTGGATGGCCTATCATTTGAGTTAAGCAGATGAATTAGGATGAAAACTATCAAGTGGGCAGTAGGCAGGAACTGATTTCATAAGCAGGGCTTGACATTGTAACAGAGCTTTCTGTTGATAATGATACAAGATAATGTTGAAACTGTAACCAGCTTCAGCCTGAGCAGCCCCTGGAACCTGCTCCCTTTGCTCCCCAGTACGGAACGACAGGTACAGAACGACAGGTGTGGTGCAGATGTGGCGTAGGAAGAAATGTATGACGACCCCATGTGACGAGAAGAATGTAGTATGGAAAGCCACCGGACTTTCAGCTAAGGGAATATGATCTCACAACCTTTAGAGAACTGTTTTGGTGTTGTGAAAATGTAACACGATACCCAATTACAGATGTGGTTTTTTTTGCCATTGTTGTTTGTTTCATTCAGTTTGTGGTGTGTGTGGGCGCCTGTGGAGGACAGAAGACAGCCTCAGATCCTCTGAACGTCCCCATTGGTGCTGGGGACCAAACAGGATCCTCTTGAAGAACAGTGGGTGCTGCTGCTGATGCCACCTCTCAGGCTCCTAGTTGCCAGTTTTAAGCAGTATATTTATACAAACACTAAAAGACTGTAATACAACATTTATATAATAAACAGCAATTGATTGCAGGTAAAGAATTGTGTAATTGTATAGAAGACATATCTATTTTGTGTTTTAATTTCAGAAAACTTTTCTAAGAAAAAGATCAAGGCTGAATCAATTACAAACCAGCTTTTTCCCACTTTACATAGGTCATCAACTGTCATGAGCCGGTTCCTCCTAAAATCATTACAGGAACCATCACCCTGGGGAGTCTGCAGATCTGTCAGGAGCCGTTTCCTGCTAGGATTATTGCAGGAACCATTGCCCTGGGGAGTCTGCAGAGAACGCCACACCCCTAATTGTGTTAGGAATCGTTCTATTGACAGAGCCTACCCCACACCCAAATTGGCTGTTAATGGAGAGCTATTTTTTAGCAGAACCCACCCCACATTCCAAACTATCTAGAGAACTAGGTGTATCAACTCATTACTTCCTGGCCTACGTGACCTGACCGAAGGTAACCTCCTGGACCATGTGACCAAGGTGGACCACGCTGGCAAGATTCCATGCCCCCGCCCCCATCCCAAGCCAAACTCCTTACCCTATATAAGCTGTACCCCATCTCTAATAAACTGAGGCTTTGACAGGAACCCCCAGTCAGCCTCATTCCTCTCTCTTAGCCCATTATCTTCCAGACAGTACCTCTCCGGGACCCTGGAATAACTGACTGCAGGGTGGGTTACAACTCCTAGACTGAGTAACCCACCCAAAGCGGTTTACAATCAACAATCTCTTTGATTGAGTGTTGAATTAAAATGTATTTGTTTCCCCCTGAGTATCATTTCAGACTTCAACAGTGACATTTAGGAATGATGCTTTGTTTCATTCTGGGAAAGAAAACAGACAAGTTCATCTCAAGAGAGATTTAACACGTACTGTGAATGTGGTTTTGTTAAAGAGTGTTGCATGGAGTCAAATGTAAAGGAGCCCTAACTCTCTACATCACACCTGCATGTTTTCCAAAACTAACTTAGAACTGTTTTATCTTTATATATGACTTCATATTACACAAATAATGCTCCATGTCAGGGGTTTACATTCCACGCTCACTCCAGGCAATTGTGGCTGTTGGCCTATAGCTTCGGTCCAACAGGAAATCATCCTAGAACCCACCAGTTTCAGCTGATCCTGCACCAGAAGAGGAATGGAGTTTACTTTTCCGTCTCTGTTAGTCCTTGTGGGCATAATTGGAACCCTGTAACCACTCGTCACGTGGAAATCTGAGTCTCCATTCATGGGCCAGAAGACAGCAGTGTTTCACATTTTGAACGGACAATGTCTGTTAAAATGCCAAGGTCACTTTTCAAACTCTACCTGCATCTTCTCTTCCGGTAGTTCCGGTCAACTGTAAAGGGCCAGAAACCCAAAGAAACATGCAACATCTATAAAGCGTCCATCCAGACACAAATGCCAGCAATGTCCTTTCAGTGTCTCACTACTGCCTCATCTCACTACTGCCTCAGCTAAGTGCAGCAATGCTTCGGTTCTGGATCTGAGTGTTCCAATGCTCCCCATTCGTTATCTGAAAACGTCAAGAGGTGATGTCCAACTGGAGTGAAGGAGCCAAAGACTGACTGACTGAAAAAATTATTATACCTCAATAAACACTAATCTTATCCCTACATTATCTTTCTCATTACTTCTTAAATCTGTGCTAAAAATGCTGAAGTAACATCTGGCTATCACCAACACTCAATGTGACTTTTTCAGAATATGTTTTGCACTGTAAATATTTTAGGTAAGATATGTAGTGAAAAAAGTCACATGTTTAACTAAGATTTCACTATAACATATAAAAAGTTTTATACCTTTATAAAGATTTAAGGAGAGTTGTTATCCAGCTATTACTCAAAGGGTCTGTCTTAGTTTCAATATAAATTAATTTATATATAAGAATGTTTTCCCTTCCTCATTTTGGTATGAAACATTTAAATTAGTGATTAACCACAAAGTTGGATACATATTCACACTGCACACAGCCACTTCCTTGAAAACAAAATAACACGCTAAACAAAGAAATGAACGAATGAAACCAAGAACCATTCAACAGGACCGAGAGATGTTTCTGCTCATAAAGTGCTTCTTGTGAAAGCTCAAGACCTGAGCACAAACCCCACAGACAAAATAAAACAAGTGGACTTTGTAGCACAAGCCTGCCATCCTACCAGGGTCGGGGAGGTGGCAACAGAAAGAGCTCTGGGGGACAATTGCCCAGTGAGCCTACCCTAAGCAAGTCCCGGGTCCCAGTGAAAGAACTTGTCTCAAAAGACCAAGTTGCCAGAAAATAGAAACAACCTAAAGACCTTACAACTGACAAACGGATAATGAAAATGAGGTGCATCTACACTATGGGATACTACTCAGCTGTGGAGAAAGCTGAAGCCATAGACTCTGCAGGTAAATGGAAGGAACTAGAAAAGACCATACTGAGCAAGGTAATCCAGACCGAAAAGGACAAACACCGCATGCTGTCTTTCAGTGGAGGCTCCAACTCCGAATCTTCAGATGTGAACACATAGCCTGTAGTTACTATAGAAACCAAGAAAATAAAGCTGGATTGTTGTCAAGACAGGGGGGCTGCTTGTTAGAGGGAAATGGAAAAGTGGAGGATCTTTAGGAAATGGGAGGAAGGTGAATACAGAAACAGGAAGGAGATGGGTAAAATTACAATAAGGATCTGAAGAAGTCATAAGAAATCATACTGTTATTTAACCAAGAAAGAAAGAAAGAAAGAAAGAAAGAAAGAAAGGAAGGAAGGAAGAAACCTCTAATACATGTGATTCTGTGTATAAATGTACATATATAGTCTTCATAAACTTTTCTCATCTGTCTGAGGGTGCTCCCCCCAAGAACCAAAGATCATCTAACAAACCCCAATGCCAGACATGAGAAGCCCTCTTCTGAGTTGTTGGCCAGGACACACAGCCTACACAGCCTCCGAAAACACACAGCCTACTATTGCATCATGCAAGCTTCCGAGGGAGGGAGGCAGCCAAGAGTCTCACCCAGCTATGAGGCCTTTGAGCCACGGCAATGACCAGCACGACACAGTGACCCTAATAGTGCAGTAGTGGATGTATACCTCGAGAAAACAATTCTCTAATTGGATTTAAAACCTGACCAACAAGAAAGAAACCATGCCTGGTACTGGAAACCTAGCTAACCACTCAGAACTGGAGGAAAATCTACAACCACTAATTTACTAAAGCAGCACAATCCCTAACAATAATCTATAAACATTTATCATTATACCTACAGATAAGTGTAGTTCCTCATCAAGGGAACGTCTCCAGCAGATGAAGAGTAGTACACAAACACAACCAATCAAAATATACAAATTAAATTCTATACTGAAAATAAAAAACAAAATAAAACAAACAAGCAAAAACCAAAGTGAGGATTATGAGATGGGTCAGTGGGGAGAGGGTTTGCCATCAACCCTAACAACCTGCGCTCATTCCCTGGAGCCCATAGAGCAGGAGGAAAGAGGCAATTCCCACGCGTTGTCTTCTGACCTCCACATGACTACCAGAGCATGCACACCACACACCCCAAAATAGTTAATTAATTAATTAATTAATAAGAAATAAATGTAACTTTCAAAAAAGGGGAGTGGCCTGAAGTTGTGTACAGATGTGTACATCATCAGATGTGACACAGCCAGAGCCCTTGCACACGTGGGTGAGCGGCCAGGGGCTGGCGGAGAGGGTCGGGAAGGGACACAGCAGAAGAAAAGCAAGGGATTAAACGGGGAATCTCTATTTTCCTTCAAAGCCCTGCACAGCAGGTTACGCTGACATAACATAAAGCGTGGGGCCAATTCCTCCTATGCTAACAGTAAGGAGCAATAATGTCCGCTATGCAAACATGGGAGCAGTTCCGGTGCAGCGAAAGAGCAAGGCGGGAATGGAGCTGGAGAGACAGATGGCTCACTGGCCAGAGCTCTGGTTCCCAGCACCCACACGTCACAAATGGCTGTCATTCTAGTCCCATGGGGTCTGATGCTCTTCTAGCTTCTACAGGCCTAGAGTTCAGCGAAACTTCAGCTAAAGAGATCTAGGCTATTTAAGGGGAAAAAGGGGAACAGCCAAAAATGACTAGAATCTGATCATACCTTAAGAAATGAATTTCATGGCCAGGTGTGGTGGTGCGCACCTTTAATTCCAGCATGTGGGAGGTAGAAGCAGGCAGATCTCTGTACGTTCAAGGCCAGTTTGATCTATAGTGTGAGAGTTCCAAAAGAGCCAGAGCTACATAGTGAGACCCTGTCATAAATACATATACACTACATACGTACATACAACAAAAGCATGCCAGGCTAACTGTATTGTGTGTGACATCACTGTGCAGGTGGCAAGTGGATTCACCCTGGCCCCTGGACTGCAGGCGAGCAGCGTCCCGGAGACCCACAATGTGCAACCTTCTTACCACACGGGTCTTTAAAGGCATTTCAGAACATCCCTCAGCCCAGATGCAGGAACAATGCTTGTATGTTTACCACACACATGTCAGATAATCCCACAACACGTTTAACCCCTAACAAAAAGCCTACCCTACGTTGTCATGTGACCCCAGGACTTTTGGAAGTTCATCTTTCAGAGTCTGCTCAGCATAAAATTCATCAACTGTACATCACAGATGTGGCTAAAGGTCAGACCTCGGCCACCAATAAGAGGTCACGTGTGCAAGAGCGTCGGTTACCCTCCTCCAGAACACAGACACTGTTATTCTAGCTTTCACAAAAGGACTTGGTAAAGGTAGGAATACTTTTTAATTTATAGGCTAATTTTTTTCTTAGCAGTGGACATCGTGCTGTCATTTGGAATGTGAAGCTTCTTAGCCAGCTATCCTGTTGTTTCTCTGGTGTCTAGAACACCCAGGCACTCCCCACAAATGCCTTCATCAACAGCATTCCCCTAGGAGTAAATTCTGTGATTCCTACTGGCTGCTCCTCTAAGAAGCCTTTTCCCACCTACAGTGAGACACCTTGGACTCTTCATGTTGGCAATCAATGTGAGCGTACCACTACCAGGGTCTGGTTAGTCAGCTGCAGGTCTTCTAACCTGATGAGAGCATTGCAGATGAGCCTATGGCTGTTGAGTGGCTCCCTCCCTCACCAGGAAGTTTTAAATGTATCTCAAGGTCACTCTCACGCTCCCACTTTCAGAGTCCCAGACTCACACTGCATTTGGTGCTGCCAATAAAACTTTGGGAAAAAATTCAATTCACTAGTTTTATTGACATACGACCAAAATTAAAAGTAAGGAGATTCTTTCTGGGGAAAGATTAAAAAATAAAGGCTATGCTAGCTGCCACGTATTTGCAAACAACTCCTCTTATCCTTGCATAATTGAAGGTATCTGACAACTCATCTTTAAGATTTTGCATTTAATCTATTAAAGTGACAGAATTATACATGCAAGTAATCTGCCCTGGGCTTCCAGGACAGCTCTTTATTAAAGATGGGTAGCATTACTTCCCCATAGAGAGAAGTGTAATCCAGGTGCTCTGGTGATAAGAATTCTCACAGTATTTCGAGACACACTCAGCAATAACTGTGGGTGCCTGATGTAGGTCAGACAATTTTTTTAAAAAACTGAATAAACAAAGCAAGAGATAATATGCTTTTATGATAGATGGCTTCAGATGAATCAGAAAACGGGATCATAAAGAAATATACAAATTAAACTAAACACTAAACATCATTCCATGCCCTGCAGATCCTGAAAAGTAGATGAAGTATATGGAGGGAAAAACCAAATATAAAATGACTTTCTTAAAACTAAGACGGTATTACTTCATGTTCACATCACTTCATTTCCTACAACAGAAAGCACTAATTCCTCCATCCCAAGTATAGAAAGCTGAACGAGAACGCGAGGGGAACAAGAAAAAATCAGAACCATAAAATGCACTCTGTATGAGCTGAGCCACACCTTGTATTTCGAAGACAACATCAGCAAGCATTGGTTTATTGAGGAAAAACTTGAGCGATGTATTATAGAACCACAGAGGCTTTCTGGCTTGGTAGGTCTTGCAATTCCGCAGGCAATTGATCTATGAGGATAAAACAGACATGTAGAAAGCTGTTTAGTATGATTTGATAGCACACATGGAAAACTGCAGGTAAGAAATCTCAGCTGCCTGTCTCACGATGGCACCTCCAACCACATCTGTGAAGGGTGCTTCCCTCAAGCACTATGTCTGCTGCCTGCTTCACGATGGCACCTCCAACCACATCTGTGAAGGGTGCTCCCCTCAAGCACTATGTCTGCTGGCTGGCAGGTGAGCAGCAGCAGGCCAGCAGCAGGCCACTGAGCACACAGCACAGCAACTGGCTAGGTGGTGGCCAGGGATCCTGACTCCCTGAGAGCCACTAATACAACGCGAATAAATCTTTATTTCTTTATCACATAAGTTCTCTTATGGCCTAGCAGGTCATTGTTTTCTCCTAAAGAAAGAACATTTAAAAAAATCTCAGATTGGTGAATTTAGATTTGAATACAATTTTCTAATGATAATTATCTTTTGTTTGTTTTTATTGTTGTTGCTGGTGTGTTTGCGTGTGTGTTTGCATGTGCGTGCATGCGTGTGTGTGTGTGTGTGTGTAGCAGAGGTAACTGGAACCTACAGACAGTCCCTGGGACTCTGCCCACATCACATGACCTGTCCCAGCACACCTGCTAGCCCAGCTCCCACAGTGCCTCCACCCACCTCAGCTTCAGCACTGGGTTAATTTGCTGAGGTCTCTCCAGACAACCCCTGGTGGTCACTATCTGACAGGCCCACGGCCCCTCTTTCCTCACCTCCATCCTTTTCTTTTGTATTTTCTCTAACTTTCCTTTACAATGAAATGAAACAAATCTTAACAGCATTTTCAAGTAAAGCTGCCCAAATTAGGCTACAATCTTAAATTGTATGGCCACAATCCCTCAGTTGGAATGATTTAGTTATGGCTCTATTTGAAATTATTTTTACTTTTTTTTTTTCGGTTTTTCGAGACATGGTTTCTCTGTGGTTTTGGAGCCTGTCCTGGAACTAGCTCTTGTAGACCAGGCTGGTCTCGAACTCACAGAGATCCGCCTGCCTCTGCCTCCCGAGTGCTGGGATTAAAGACGTGCGCCACCACCGCCCGGCCTATTTTTACTTTTTTTAAGACAGTTTCTTTGTGTAATTCTGTCTTGGAACTAGAACTAGCTTTGCAGACCAGGCTGGCCTCAAACTTAGAGATCTGCCTGCCTCTGCCTCCCAGAGTACTGGGATTAAAGGTGTGCACCACCACCGCCTGGCTGTTTACTTACTCTTGGTGACTCCATCAGTTTCCTGGCTGTATTTCTGACCAGCTAGGGAAATGAGGAGCCTTTATCCTTCAGAAATCACAAAGCCAACTCCAGCAAGAAGAATAAGTGATACCTAATTGTCTACCTTGGGCTAATCTACTTTGGAGGTAAGTTTCCAAAATTGTGTGAAGGAGGAAAATGATACAATCCTCTTGACAAGGTGTAGAAGGAGCTGCGGACAGGCCTGCTTTTTGTCCCTCCCAGCTCCCACACGACTAGCTTTACCCAAAATAATTACATGGAAACTGTATTCTTTTAAACACTGCTTGGCCCATTAGCTCTAGCCTCTTCTTGGCTAACTCTTGTATCTTGACTAACCCATTTCTAATAATCTGTATAGCACCACAAGGTGGTGGCTTACCGGAAAAGATTCAGCTCCATCACATCTGCCCCCACTTCCCTTCTTCCCAGCATTCTGATCTGTCTACTCCACCCACCTATGTTCTGACCTATCAGGACAAGCAGTTTCTTTATTATTTAACCAATAAAAGCAACAGATAGACAGATGACCTTCCCACATCAACAAGGAAAAAGAAAACCCAGTTCAGCATGAAATCCAGAAGCAAGACAGAAGGGCAGAAAGCAACAAAGGACCAGCTCCTCCAGTTGAAGATCTCAGCACTGCACCGCAACATCCACTGGAGGAGCTGATGTTTAGCATGCAAGTGACTGGCACGTGTAGAGAGTGGCCGCCAAAACCCAGCCTGGAAGTAGAGAGCTAGCAGGGCGTTGGGGTATATCTTGTTTTATGTGCAGTCTGAAAGAAAAGGCTAAACTGCTCAAAACTGCAGTAATAATTTGTGGCATACTCACAATTTAAATTGACACTCCCATCTGCCAACACAGTGTTACATTCCTATGACACACTTGAGAGACAGAGAGTATTTAGCGTGGGAGCGGCCTCCCACCTGTGCAGGGAAATCAGTTCAGTGTCATGGAATTCCATAGTCCAGGCTTCTCATCATTGGTCTGAGTTGATATTACTCTCGGTACCACAAAGGGCCAAGTGCCAGATCAGACCCAAGGAAAAGATGGGTTCGAACACCAGCAAGACTCTGAACATTCCATGTAGATAAGGGTTCTAAACCTGCGCATCACGGATCTTATAGAGATATTCACTATGTATGAAGTATGTGTGTGAGAGAGATGGAGAGAGAGACATTCCCCCGGTTCATCAACTCATCAGATGTTCTGCGTAAAGAGAATCCAGGCATTTGTGCATCCTTTTTTACAGGACTGTTCAGCCGAGTTAGGTTGAAAGAGAGCTATTCTGATTCCTGTAAGGCTGCTCAAGCCGGGATTACCTGCTGCACTGAGTTACTACACCCCTTAATTCTGTGTTTCTCTGTTAATTTCTTTTCTCAACCAAGGAAAATTAAGAACCTTCCTGAAAAGCTAGTACAAGCCAGGTGTGGTTGTACAGATGTAATCCCAGCACCAGGGAAGCTAAAGTAGAAAGCTACCAGTCTGAAGCTAGTCTGGGCTACACAGAGAGCTTGAAGCCAGTCAGGGCTACAAAGAGTTTGAAGCTGGCCTGACTATATAATGAGTCACTGTAACAACAACAACAACAAAAACCCAGAAAGTGGGGGGAGGGGCAGAGAAATGGCTCAGTGAGCAAAGTCACCTTCTGTCTGTGTAACCCTGGAGCCCACACAGTAGAAGGAAGAACCCACTCCTACAGACTGTCCTCTCAGCTCCACGTGTGCTCCTGGGCACACACAATTGTGTACACAACTTTTAAACATGAGAAGAAATGAAAACTAATACAGTTCATACTTTTCAACTATTGACTTTAAATGTTATTAATGTTCAGTTATCTGTTAAATAAAGGAATATTTGCCTTATATTTTGCTAAGCATTGTGCTTAGCTGAACCTTATTTTATCTACTGCAGCCAGTTGGCTTATCACAGACTCTGAAAGAATACACTGGCTAGATTGTGCAACACAGTTGTCTTAAAGTTTTACAAATCTACTTTTAAAACTTTTACAGACTCTGTATAATCTAAATCACTGCAGTTTTATTGTCTTACAACTTCAGTATTTTTATAACCTTGAACCCAGTTTGTAATTTTGAACAAGCACTCAAGAGACTCCTCAACTGCCCATTTGGTTAAATATATTGCTCAGAACTCTTTAAAAGTTTACGGGAACAGCCCTACTCCCCAAGACTCCTGGAAAATCACATGGTGTGAGGATGGGTACCTCCTGGAGGCAGCTGCAGCTGCAGGAGGCTAGCAGTTCTCATTCCCAACATGGGCTATGTGTTCCCAGGGCCCCAGTGGGCTGTTGTGAAAGCAGAATTCACAAGTGAACATTTCAAAGGCATGAGTCATGCCTAATTTAATCCTTACATAAAGTAAAATCTTAGTAAGAAATACATACATTTCTGTTTAAAACATTTAAATAGAAACATATACACGAAAAAAGCATTTCTATTTATGAATTATTTAACTTTGCTAATGACTCACTGTTATAGTATCAAAATGAATCTGTTATAATTCAGAGTCAAAGTGATTTACCTTTCCTGGTGTTTTTAAAAGGCATTTCACTTTCTCGATTACATCTGAAACATCCCCTGAGTCGTTCAGCTTCCTCCTGATGTCTTCTTCCAGCTCTTCCCACTGAAAAGCACCTGGAAGGAACCACGTGTCAGGAAGTCCTATGTGAGTAGGAGGTATGAAAAGCTTCTAGATTACAAATGCTTCCTTCTTTTGTATTTAATTTCTCTGGAGCAAACATATCTCTTTATGATTGAAGTGTGTGTTTAACAAGTTAGTTTGACTTCCTCTAATCCAATGGTTCTCAACCTGTGGGTCATGACCCCTTTGGGGTCCAACAACCCTTTCACAGGGGTCGTCCAAGACAATCAGAAAACACAGCTATTTACATAATGATTTATAACAGGAGTAAAATTACAGTAATGAAATAACAACGAAAATAATTTTATGGTTGGGGGTCACCACAACATGAGGAACTGTACTGAAGGCCACGCATTAGGAAGGTTGAGAGCCACTGCTCGGAACAGGCTTCCTCCTTGGCAGCCACAATTTCTGCAGCAGGTGTTCAGCTGGCAGCACCGGCCAGGATGAGTTTCTGTGAAAAGTGATCTGCTTTCAGGAAGACAGTCAGTGTGGCTGTTCCCACACTGAATGCCTTCACCACTAATGGAGAGTGAAGGCCTCCCCTGGTCTGGAAAGCTGCCCTGCAGACACACATTCACTCTGAGGCTCAGGTGATACGTCTACCCTGGAACTCTCCAAAACTAACCTGAGAAAGGCAGTGAGGGGGTTTTCTGACACACTCATTCCCAGAGCCCACAGCGGCAGCAGACCTTTTCTGAGCATCGCCTCCTTCCTGGTCATCTGCAAAGCTGCTCTTCTGCCCCTCACTCCTGCCCACCGCCTTTTCTCCAAAAGATGATCTTTACCCAAAATGCCCTCTCCTTGGCCTAAGCACTTTCCTGCCCAACCTCCCTGCTTCCAAAGACCTTTCATCCTTGGGATCATCCTATTATTCAAGCTAAAATTTAAAAATTATTATTTCTGCTCATGATGTTCCAAGGAGTCTTAGTTACTGTTCTACTGCTGTGAAGACCAAGGCAACACTTACAAAAGAAAGCGTTTAACTAGGGGTTTACCTATAGTTTCAGAGGCTTAGTTCATTATCATCGTGGTGGGCAACATGGCAGTATGCATGGTGCTGGACAAAGAGCTGAGAACTACATCCTGACCTGCAGTCAGGCAGGCAAAGAAAGAGAAGCCTGGGCCTGGTGTGGCTTTGGAAACTCCAAATCCCTTGCCCACTGACACACTTCCTCCAACAAGGCCACACCTCCTAATCCTTCTAATCCTTTCAAACATTTCCACTCCCTGGTGACTATGCATTCAAATATATGAGCCTATGGAGGCCATTCTAATTCACTCCATCACCTTCACCCTTCCATGACTTACAGGAGGTCAAACTCCTAAAAATCAAGTTAAAACAATATACCACGGACAGGCAGGTAAGGAGGTCCACCTTTCAGCTTTATCTGCCATTAACACTTGGGTGACTGCAAGGAAGTCATCCCGCCTGTCTGGGGGGTGATCAGGACCCTTTGGCATCTGCTCCTAATCTTGCCCTGGTGCATTCCTGCCTATCTCCATCACTCTGCAGATGCCCTCATGATTGAGACTGAGGACTGAGCAAGGCATATAACTCACATTTTAATTCAATGAGATCAGTCAACTTCTGCCAGTGAGAACCAAAACTGACTCGAAGATCCTGACCCATAGGCTCTCAAACCCTGAAGCTCAGGGTCCCTGGAACTTGTTTCTTAATTTTTTAAAAAAAAGATTGGTTTATTTTTATGTGTATGAATATTTGACTACATGTTTGTAAGTGAATTACATGTGTGCAGTGCTTGAAGAAACAAAATGAGGGTGTTAGATCCCCTAGAACTGTAGTTAGTCCGTTGCTAGCCATCACGTGGGTCCTGGGAATGGAACCTAGGTCTTCTGCAAGTGCCCTTCACCACCAAGCCGTCTCTCCTGTCCAGGCGTGTCAGCATTCCTGAGCGCTCTCGCCTCTTCTCTCTCTCACTCCAGTTCCGGGGCATTTTACATTTTCATCCTTTCATCTCTCCCTTTTTATATCGGTGATTTTTACTGGTCACACATAGTCTTCCCACAGTCTTACAAATTCTTTGGATCATCTTTCCAAAAAACCTCCCATGCACACATAAGACAAAAGATATGTATAAAAATGTCAGGACCCCTGTATTCAAAGGTGATTTTGTGGTGCGTATCCCTAGTCATTGATACCACGGGGAGAGGATGCCAAAAAGTTTTTCCCTGTATTTGGAAGGTTCATTCTTTCCTGTCCTTGCTAAATCTTGGTGCTTCTGAACACAGTTTTCTTCTCACAGCCTCTTAGTCTCTTGGCTGCTGACACCAGGCTCTGAGTGTCCTCTGCCAGTGCTGGGCAGTGTCCTCTGGGACTTGCAGACAGAGGTGTTTGTGTTGCTAGAGACCACAGAGCAAGACACTACACAGAGCAAAGCTGGGGCTGCAGCAGGCTCAGAGCATCACGAGACAGCTGATCACTCTGCTTAGTAACTAGCTCAGGCATGGGTGATCCTGACACCAATGCCTCGGAGGGCTATATGCTAGGCCCATGCCCACCCGCTAATAGCCTGGACTGACTAGAGAGAGAAGAGGTTTTTCCACTGAATCTGTAGCTAACTTTTCTGCCACCTCCCTAACCCCTGAGCAATAATTCTCATATATAAAAGAAGAAACAAAAATGCCAGGACTATCAAATGCCTTAGAAACCAATGGAGCCCAGACTGCGCCTCCATCCTAGCTGGGCATCATACTGTCCTGAATGAGAAGAGTTTGTTAGACTTTCTGGAGCTAGGGTTCCAGACACTGGCGTCTTTTAAACCCCCCAGAGCTCTACTGTACTCTGAGTGCTACTGTTGAGCGCATTCTTACTTTAAAAATTCCAGCCAGCCTACAAACCACAATCCCAGAGAACTTAGACAACAATGAGGACACTAAGAGAGACTTAAATAGACCTAATCTACATGGGAAGTAGAAAGTATAAAAAGACAAGATCTCCTGAGTAAATTGGGAGCATGGGGACCTTGAGGGAGGATTGAAGTGGGGAAAAGGGGAGAGGCAGGGAGGGGAGCAGAGAAAAATGTAGAGCTCAATAAATATCAATAAAAAATACGAAAAAATAAAAAATTAAAATCCCAGACATTATCAACACCCAGATAGTGGCACACAGCCTACAGCAGGCATAGCTTTCTTTGTCTACCCTCATCTATACTGAAGGAGAACACAGTTACAATATCGGTACTAACTTTTAATATTGTGGAGTAAACCTTACATATAGCTAATAATAGTAAAATGATGTTAACCAAAGAACATCTACACACTACCTCCATTCACAGGACTACCGGAAAGCAAGCAAGCATCGAGTAATCTGAATAACGGGCAAATCTGAGGGGCTGCTCCGCTGGTCGAAAACAGACTAGGCGAGAGCCAGAAATCAAGACAAAGTCCTAAGGGCACACAAGCGAGCAGGCTGCTTTCGTAGCTAGAAATACTAATCACCTTATCTTTGACACCCTAACTGCCAATAAAACAGCCATACTGAGACTAGGCCTTCCTTTCCGCGGTGACGATGTTTAAGATGAGATCCACCCCTGAACAATGTTTTCGGGATCCAGGGATTCAGCATTGCCAACAACAGGCACGGTGCCATGAGGCTGGACCTGTAGCAGCTCCTCATCTTGCACTGTTCACTGCGGTTTCCCAAAGATAATTTCTCAAATCCCTCAGCAGTTTACGTAGTCTGTTGAAGAGCACAGCGCATTCAGGTACCCTATGCTGTTTTCTGTTGCACAGGAAAGAGCATGCGCAGAATTGCGAGTATTGGAGAAAACCCCAGGCAAAGTGAACCCGAAGGCTCGCCCACCTGCTCACCTGCATGCGGAATTCTAGGTCACCTTAGGTCCACCTCAAAGCTGCATTCTCGAGTCTCTTACAAATATTTCTAACCATTCGAGATCACATGACTTAGGAATTTTCAAGTCAAGCTATCAAGTATTGTAAGAATGCTACAAGTGTATGCTGCTTCAGGGTAACTCCCCGAACACAGAAACTGCGGCTCTCATTCTGTTGTTAGCCCTGGTCCGCAGGCATTACTTACCAAACGTTAACACTTCTTATGCATCGGAAGGTTAACATACACCTGGACTGTATCTAAAAAGTTATTCAAAACTTTTTAAGAGGAAAACAAACTGAAGGCTCATATGTGAGTATAAAATGCTAACCGGACTTTGAAATAGTGACTTCTAACACCAAGCCAAAACATCTACATAGTCCAATTCCCAGAGGCAAAAAGCAAGTCTGGCATCATTTAGAAAGAACCTTTGTGGTCTGGTTGACTATTTTTTAAAGGGCAGAAGACAGGTTTATTGTAGCTTTTGAGTCCCTGTTTATGCAAGCTGTGCCATGGAGTTCTGCCCTTGCTTAGCAGCCCCATTGCCATACACAAACCACGGCTGTCCTCCAATGTCCCTGACAAATGCTGTGACCTGTGGACTGTGAAGAAACCAATATGCAGTGGGTCTGGAAACCTGCGCTCTGTGTAGAGGCTTGAAAATGTCTCAGATCTTCCAGGCCTTATTGAAGATCCTATGATACATGTAGCTTTAAGATTTTTTTGTTTCACTTTGTGTACATATGTGTGTGTGTGTGTGTGTGTGTGTGTGTGTGTGTGTGCGCGTGTGCGTGTTTCTCTGTAGCTCTGGTGCCTATCCTGGAACTAGCTCTTGTAGACCAGGCTGGCCTCAAACTCACGCCTGCCTCTGCCTCCCAAGTGCTGGGATTAAAGGCATGTGCCACCACCGCCCCGCCAAAAAATAATATTTTTTAAAGCACTAATCTATTAACAAATGAGAACCTAACAGAGAAAACAAACAAGAGTGATACTCAGCTATTTTGTCTGGGCAATGGCATCTGTGTTTGTTTGTTTTTCTTGTAATGAAAATACATGTGCAATGGTGGCTTTAGCATCTTCTAAAATGGAATTTAGGCTTCCTTATGCTCAGTTCAGATTTATCATTTGTACATAATTAAAGAATGATTGATATGAACTTGCAGATCCAGCTATTCTTCCTCTCCACCTGCACTGGGTTCCTTCTACCTCAGGCCAAGGTCAAACCACCCTATCTCGTGCCTGCCTGAGACACAGGAGACCAGAGCAGCAGTGCAGAAGTGGAGAAGATCTGAGCTGGCTGAGGAGCTCACCTTCCTGACATTGCATAGCCTCTGCTGTGCCTAGGCACCCCATTTCCTTGCTCCCGGCCCAGTCTCTCAACTGAAATCTAAGCCCCGTTTCACGAGCTGTGGCCCAAGCCCAGTATCAAACACCTGCTGGGAACAAAACTCACGCTGCACTCCACCCCAGTCACACCACCAGAATCTGGACACTCCGGTGACCTCTGACCTGTCTAGATGAGGAAAGGTCTCAATGCCGGCCTCCCTGATGGAGCTTCCCCACTGAATTCCTGTCTTTCCCACTCTACTTCAAGCTCCCTCCATCCCAACCACACGTGAGGCTTCGAAAGGCCAGCCCGAGCACACAAAGAATAGCATCATAGCTTCCAGAAACCGCAGCAACAATTCCCCCAAGCCCTGCTGGCCCCATCTTCTCCTCTGTGATCCATGTCCTAGGAAAGGACCCCTGGTCCCCAGAAGACAGCAAATAAGGACTGCATGTTTACCAGAGCAAATATACAGGCAAATAAAACCTCTGCAGTAGGCTCTGAGGGAATTCCCCCATTCAGAAAGCTGTCCTAGGTAGCTGGCAGGGGAAGGGGTGGAGGTACACCGAGAACCTTTTCTTCTCTTTGCCTTTTGTCCACTGGCCTGATTCCCCCATCTCTATTGAGCTGACTTTACAGTGTACAAAGCATCCTAGGAGAATGGCCGGCAGGTTCAGTCTCTGGGTACTGGACCTTTTTTACAGCTACAGTATTAAAGAAGGCATAAATAACTCAGAGTGCTCGTGTGCCTTCCAGGATCAAATGGATTTTATAGGAAGGCTGCTGAATAATTCATAGAATTTCAACAGTAAACTCACTGGAAAGTCAAACACCTCCGTCAGTGTTGCTTAGACATGTCATTACAACCATTTTTCTTAACATGCAAACATCTTAACTGTTTTAGACTTAGTATTAAATTCTGAGCTGTGAAATCCAAGTTTAAAGACTAAAATTTGTAGACCTAGAAGAAATCATGAACTTGATGGTTCCAGCTACTTGAACCTGCTCTCCAAGGCCACTGAAACACACTGTTAATCTCCCATACTGAAAACAGTAGGCCCTATGGGGCCACACTTGTGAATTTCCCAAATCACTATTCCCTAAGCACTACCATATTATTCTCACTTTTCCAGCAAAACTCAACTACAGCAATTCTTTTAAAAAACATAGTTAAATTTTAACCACCTAGTTTCTTTGGGTTGAATAATTTTTCACTGCATACATATCCCATTTTCAGTTTGCTCATTAATCCCTTGCTGACATTTGGGTCACATTCACCATTTTACCCACGGTGTCTATGAGCACGGCTGTACAGCTCTTCTTTGACGCCTGCCTTCAGTCACTTAGGTATATACCCAGAAGCGAAGTGCTATGTTATGTGGGAATTCTGTTTTTAAGTTTCTAACAACTGCTGTGTTCTTTCCAATGCATTAAAAATGACTAAGTGACAACCTGCATGACCCCGAAGATATGGCAAATGAAATAAACCATCCGAGGCACACAGAGTAGTCAAAACCACAGAGAGTGCAGCGGCTGCCCGGGGCTTGCCGCGATTTAATGGGGACATACTTTCAATTTTCAAAATAAAGAAATGCAGAGATAATGGAAATAACTGTATTCTAGAAATGCATCTACTATCATTGGATTGTACACTTAAAAAGGGCTAAAATAGCAAATGTAGCTATGTGATTTTGCCATTAAGGCAAATAAACTTGTCAAAAAGACAAAAAACTTGAACTAATTTCTACATATAAAGTAAATACTACATTTCATGTATAAGTATCACCTCAGATGTCAGGGGCTAAGATAAATGTAAAATTAACCCAGACTCTCACAGACTTCCAGGGAGCTTGAGAGAGCAGAAGGGCTCGGAAGAGTCGGCCAAGGTACCTGAATAAATGAAGCGCAGAATATCGGACAAACACGAGCAGAAGAGCGCGTCCTTCACGACGACTCGCAGGGGCGGGTTGCTGGGAGATTCCTGGCTAGCACCTGGACGCACAGCATCTCTGTTGATGGCGAAGAGGTCCCGGGTCATCCGGACGATGCTGGGATCCTGAATGTCGGTAGGGCTCTTCACATTGAACAGCAGCATGAAAACGTGGCTCACAGCGCAGAGAACAATCTTGTGGGCCTGCGCGACGCCCGTCACTTCCGGGTGGTAAAACACCACGTCCACACACTGGCAGCAGGACAGCAAGTTGTTCAAGTCGGAGTGGTAGTGCGATGCCTCGGCTTTCAAGACAGGCATCTTTTCTGTTTCCGGGGGACAATGAAGATAATAACCTATTTTTATGTCTATAGGCCCAGAGATGGGATCCTGCAAAGAACCAATACTTGCTCGTTTGCTTAAATCTACAAATCACTGATTTTGCACAGTTTAACCTAAGAGCACATGAACTAGTCCATCAGGGATTACCGAAGCAAATTTTACAGAACGCACATGAATACGACATTTCATTTTGTACTGAAGATGAAAACCTAATGACTTGAGCAATAAAGTAACATTTCTCATTATTTTTGTGGCTCAAAACAAACACTCTCCCAGGTACAGGCCTTTACTATGGGGGCTGGGAGTCAGCATTCTTCTGATTTAAAAAAAAATGAACTAAGTTCTGAAGAGCTTACTCTCAAATCCTCAGCATCTGATGAGGAGTGGAGGCCAAGGGGGACCACTTAACACCAGCAAATTCCCATGCCTTCATAAATTGCAATGACTCTAACTACTCTATTGTCTGACATCATCCTAACAATTTTACTTTGATTCCTGTCTTTTTTTTTCTTCTAGTGAAATGATCTCCCTCACCAATCAGCCAGTGGCTCTTCACTTAACATACCTCAGCCATGGTGGTGACTGCAATCCATGGGCTCCTACACAGAACATGCCCTTAGATTTCCCATGACTAGTTTGATCCTGCTGAAGAGAGAGCTTTCCATGAGCCCAGAATATATATCCTCAGCTCATGTCCTCCCCAGAAAACCTGACCTTGTTGACAAACCTGAGCAGAGGGATGTAAAGGAAAGACTGCCCATGCATGGCACCCCAAGCAAGTGAGTCAACTCCTTCAGCAATAGGAATCCTTTATATGGACGAGGCTTGGGAGCTGGGTCTGGGACCAGGTTCCCTGCGGTGCACCCCAGGCCACCCTACCTCACAGGACCCCAAATGCTAAGTCCCAGAGCCCAGCGCTAATCCTTAGAAGCATTCCACCCCAAAGACACCTGCGGGCAGTCACGCTGCGTCCTGTTTTATTTAGAGCTCAGCTCAGGGCTCTCTAAACTAAAAGACACATGAAACAGTCTTGTAAACACATAGGCTATCTCTGCTGCCCACACACTGCTGGGGACCTGATATACTATATTACCCAGACCCCCAAAGAAGCCACTTGGGGAGTTTCTATCAGTGTCAAACAGTGTTGGGTGTTTGGTTCTCTCCTTTGGATCAGTGAGAACAATTAGCTGTCTCCACTATTTGTTCTTTTCGCCTTGAAGGTATTTAGGCCCCAGAATTTACCACATCAGACCTTATCTGAACCTTATCTGAAACTGGAAGCCATTCCTCAGTTCTAACTTGTGTTCCCTTGGTTGACATCTACATTGATTCAACAGCTAGTTCTCCGGTGCCTACTTAAAGGTGGTTTTTCTTTTTGACAAATAGGAATTTCTCACATTTATGGAATACACACTGGTTATTTATACAATGTGCATCTCATCATCATTTCTTTGTATTTGAGGCTTTCAAACCCATCTTTTCCATGTCTTCATAAAACACAATAAATTATCATAATAAACTGTAGTTAGCTGGGCAGTGGTGGCACAACTTTAACCTCAGCACTTTCATGGCAGAGGCAGGCGAATCTAAGTAAGTTGGGCGCCAGCATGGTCTACAAAGTGAGTTCCAGGACAGCCAGAACTGCTATACAGGGAAACCCTGTCTCAAAAACCAAAACAAAACAAAAGTGATAGAAAACTATAGTCATGATTCTATGATATCAAGTATCTATTATTTTTAGAAATAATATTGAAGACAAACTGACCCAACAGATAACAGATTCCATGATTATGTCATAAACCATGTAAAATGTTTTGATGAGTGTGATTTTGTTTTTATATTTAAACTCTGTAGCACAAATGACAGTGCACACACACATTCTTTCATTCATCCTGCAGTAATTAACTCTATCATCCTGCTTTATCACTAGACACGAAGGCGCAGACACAGGCACATGCGCACACCAGCTGAATCCTTTAAAAGGTGAGTTGCAGGCATCAGACGACTGTGAGAACACTGACTTAGTAATCATGATAGGTGAGAAAATTAACAATAAACCTACAACCTCATCTTGCTTTCAGTTCAAATTAAGATTTCACCAAGTGTCCCAAGATTGCCTTTTAGATGACTTTTTGCACAGCACCCAGTTAAGACTGGCATGGCCTTTTGTAGCTACCTGTCAGTCTTTTATCTCCACGGTGCCTCTCTGCCACATGCTAAGAATCTATAGGATCAAACTTGATGTCAGCACTTTCTCAGCAGTGTGGTTTGACTACCACCTGCTCTAGTGTCAGTTAAAAAAGTCCTGGCCCTTGTCCCAGGTTCACTGGGAATGTCGAACGGCCCTGAGCATGCTCGGATTGATCTATGAGGAATGTCCTAAGGTCTGCACACCTGGCTGTTCAAGTTGAGGCGGTCTAATTCCGTGAAAGGAGTTGGTCATTTTCCTTTTCCTCATTTTTTCACTTGTCTTCTGATTTAAGGCTTGAATCATAAAATACTCCAACTGAAACATGAATCAAAGCAGAATTAAGTCCAACACAATTATATCTGACATGACGATTTGTATTCCAGGTCACATCTGCAAATGGTTTCGATGTCAGTGCCAATACTAACAAACATGTGCAAACAATTTTTAATATTAAAAATATATATTTAGAAGGATTGACTTGTTTTGTCTGGGGCTCATGGGCTAGCTAACTTTGCCACTGGTGAGCTGCAGCCCACGGAGACCTTGGCTCACAAAGAGAAGTGGATGGCACCTTAAGCAACACTCAAAAGTGACCTCTGAATGACCGCTAGCTTCTACACACGGCACGTGTGTCCCCCACAATGCTGCACATGGTGAAGCACGGGGACCTCTGGGTGACACTAACCAGCCAGTCTAGCTTACTTGGCATGGGCTAGGTCAGTGAGCATCCCTGTACCTAAAAAAGGGGAGCAGTGTCCTCTGGCCTTCACATGTAAGTATGTACCCATGCCCACATGCAGACATAGGGGTGCATTATGTGCATGGACACACACACACAGACACACTAACAAGATTACTATAAACTTGTGTAGGTTTGTATTAGAACATGTGATTTTGACATACACAAGGACCCATTTTGAAAGATTCTAAAAATCTTAACAGATGATTAAAAATGTTTCATTTGAATAGAGAATTTTATAATTTTACACTGATTAAGCCTATGCCACTTAACTCTCATTGGGTTTCTCAAGGTTAAAGCAAATGATGCTTATGAAATGAAAGCACTCACTGATGCCCTGGAACGTAGCTCAGCAGCAGCCTGCACAGGAGCACTCATTGATGCCCTGGAGCGTAGCTCAGCAGCAGCCTGCACAGGAGCTCACAGGCTCTCCACTTACCACTCCTCCGAAATACTTTCCGATGTAGAAGTCATCAAGGCTGTGCAGCTCCAGGTAGGTAGCTCCCAGTTCTTTGGCAAGTTGGATCCCTTCTGTGGTACTAACACAGCTCCCTCGGTCTGAGGTACACAGGGGGCATGTACAAGGTAATTCTTCTGAGGACAGAAATGCAAAAACAGAGAGCTTTTAAATTAAACGGAAAAAAGGGCAGTACGACCATTAATGGATAGATTCACTATATACTAGACTCTCAAAAAATAGTGTAAGTGTGGGAAAAAGTCCTTGGATGAACCAGCACTGGCCGTGAGGAGAACAAGTGCTTCAGAAGTCGGTGAGTGGCTGTCAACCGGCCAGCGACAACTGACCCAATGTAGTTACACAACCACAACATCACATCACTAGCCCGTTAGATCAAACATAACCATCATGACAATAGAGGGCTGGGTCTTCTTCCGTCATAAATTTCCTGTTAAGTAGGTTACCAAGTTTGATTAAATTTTATACTTTTATTTTAATAGAATTCCCAATTAACATGAATTTTAAAGTTGTAGGCTGCCACACTTCTACCACCTCATAAATTTCATATCATATGCATTTTGTGTGTGTGTGTGTGTGTGTGTGTGTGTGTGTGTGTGTGTGTAACAGTCCTGGTTGTCCTGGAACTCACTCTGTAAACCAGGCCAGCCTCAACTCACAGAGGTCCACCTGCCTCTGCCTCCCAAGTGCTGGGATGAAAGGTGTGAGCCACCACCGCCAGTATCAAATGCATTCTTAATGCTATCATTTAATTCTGAAACATTCTATCTGAAGATCTATTTTTATTCTATGTCTGGGTGTTTTGCATGCATGAAATCTGAGTTCCATGTAAGTGTCAGGTACCAGCAGAGGTCAGAAGACACACTGGATCACCTGGAACTAGAATTACGGATGGTGAGGAGCCACGACATAGGTGCTGGGAAAGGAGTCCAGGTCCTCTGGAAGGGTAGCCAGTGCTCTTACCTGCTGAGCCGTCTCCCCAGCCCCTAAAACATTCTTCCTTAGTAATCAAATCAAATCAAATCAAAATTTGAAGACTAAAATAAGAAAGCAAACTTTTTAGGATTCATGTGTTTACAACAGGAAAAGTGTGACTTATGGCATCTTTACACTCTTCCTACGGCCCAAAATATATATTCAGCTCCATAGTCATCAGTCAGCTTTGCTCTGTCTCAGGGATAAACATCAGATACGTCATATTCAATGTGATCAAGAAAGGCATGTTGTTTACCAGTTGGTGTCCCTGGGAAGTACAATCTAAGATGGAGAATGGTGCAGGAGGCATTGCTTGGTGACGGTCCTAGTTAGGGATAGTGATGAAACACCATGACCATAAACAACTTGCAGAGGAAAGTGTTTAATTCATTCACCCTTCTGTAAAACAGTTCATGAGAAGAAATCAAGACAGGAACTCAAACAGGGCAGGAACCTGGAGGCAGGAGCTGATGCAGAGGCCATGAAGAGGACCTGCTAACTGGCTTGCTCCCCCTAGCTTGCTCAGTCTGCTTTCTTTTTTAAGATTTATTTATTTATTACGTATACAGTGTTCTGCCTACATGTTGCTATGGCTGCATGCTGGAAAAGGGCACAAGATCTCATTACAGATGGTTGCGAGCCACCATGTAGTTGCTGAGAATTGAACTCAGAACTTCTGGAAGAGCAGCCAGTGCTCTTAGCCTCTGAGTTATCTTTAGAGCCCTCAGTTGGTGTGGGAAGTTCTTCTGTGTATGTGCTGCTTTTATTGGTTAATAGATGAAGCTGCTTTGGCCTATAGTGGGGCAGAATAGAGTAAGATGGGAATTCCAAGCAGATAAAGGAAGAAAGAAGGTGGAGTCAGGGAGATACCATGGAGATGCCATGCAGTCACTAAAGGAGACAGACCCCCAGAACCTTACCAGTAAACCATGAGCCTCATGGTAGAATATAATAGAAATGGGTTCATTCAAGATGTAAGAGTTAGTTAATAAGAAGGCTAAGGTAATATGCCAAGCAGTGCTTTAATTAATAGAGTTTCTGTGTGGTTATTTTGGGTTCAGGCAGCCAGGAAATGAACAAGCAGCCTCTGCCTACACTCAGTCTGCTTTTTAATAGAAGCCAGGGCCATCTTCCCAGGGATGGCACCATCCACAAAGGGCTGGGCCCTCACCGGTCAATCATTAGTTAAGTTAACGCCCTACAGGCTTGCCTACAGCCCCATCATTTTCTTGGTCCTTCCTCTTGGATGACTGTATCTTCTATCAAGCTGACCAAAGTAGCCACGCAGAGGCTCTAGGAACAGCTCTTCTCAGGAGTGAGAAAAACAGGTCTGAGTACTGGAAAGACTTCCATAATAGTGCAGTTGTACCTTAGGTCTCATTAGGTCCTTCAAGTTCTCTGGAAGTTAGCCTTTCAGAGTTTTTCCCACTTCCATAATAGTGCAGTTGTACCTTAGGTCTCATTAGATCCTTCCAGTTCTCTGGAGGTTAGTCTTTCAGAGTTTTTCCCACTTCCATAATAGTGCAGTTGTACCTTAGGTCTCATTAGGTCCTTCAGGTTCACTGGAAGTTAGCCTTTCAGAGTTTTTCCCACTTGAAGGAAGGTAGCTGAGCCTGTGTCCTACCCCTACTGTGTAATTAGATGAGGACTGCATTCTTTGAGAGGAGGTTGCCTTGGGCAAGGCAGCTCCTCCCTGTGGAGACACCTGAAGGACACTGTGTGTGGCGTCAGCCAACAAGACCACAACTGAGGCAGTAAGTGGAAGAGACAGGAAAGAGCATCTGAGCCATTCCCCTGGGCAGCACACAAGTGTTTCCCAGTTACTGTGCAAAGAGGAAGCATGTGTGTGCATGTATGGGTTGTTGGCCACCACATATGAATGAGCCAGAAGATCATTTTCTATACTCACTTCTCTCCTTCCACCATGTGGGTTCCAGGGATTGAACTCAGGTTCTCAGTCTTGGCAGCAAACACCTTTACCAACTAAGTTATATCATTTTAAAATTCAGAAACCAAGGAATCTTTAGTCCCAGCACTCAGGAGGCTGAGTCACGGGAATCTCTGTGAGTCTGAGACCAACCTAGTCTACATAGTGATTTCCAGGACAGTTACACATGGACACCCTGTCTCAAGAAAATAAATAAGGAAGGAAGGAAATAAATACAATAAAGTTCAGAAACCATGTACTTTTATCTGAATTTTACAGAGAAGGAAACTGCAGCTCAAATCTGCTAAGTATCTTAGCCTTGGAGAGCAGTGAAGGAAAACAGAAAAATGTCATTGGCTTCGCCTGATACATAAACATAAATGTGGCATATCCAAAAGCAGAAAAAAGAAGTTTGAACAGAGATTACCAGTTTCCAAAATACAGCAATTAGAAACATTGTTAAGCCAGGCTTCTTAAACTGCCATACATTCTAGTCTGAGTGTACTTTTTCTAAGACTGTTTCAGTTTGTAGCAAGCTGTCTATGTAGCATTTAGGCTGCCTTGAGAAAGAACAATGGATGTTTCTCATTCTTTACAAGACCTTTGTGAACAGTGCCTTGATTTTTCTGAAGACAGAGGCCTTCTTACATCTACAAAGGTCTCTGTGGCTTAAAGGGATGTGTAGGTAGATCACGTTATGAAGTTGTCAGAGTCTCAAGAGGGCAGTGAACCTGATGTTCAAGAATGGCTAACAATCCAACTCTGAGGGAAAGTAATTTTTATTTGAAGCCAGTAGCATGCAGTCTACCTGCTTTCCACATCACATAGACATATTCTTCCACTCACTCAGAAAAAAGGGAAACTGTCATGTAGGCAGCTATCAGTTGGTTAGTTACATGTTTTCTGGATCCCAAAGTATGTCTTTTCTAATTGAGATACTCTAGATTCTCTTCTGAACCAGTACTGTATTTCCCCGCACCAAACAATTTTAGTTAACTTAAGAGGATCCAAAATAACATTCATGTTTTTGTTTATTTTGAGAAAGGATCTCATATAGCTCTGGTTGTCGTGGACCACACTATGTAGACCAGGTTGGCCCTGAATTCACAATGATCCTCCTGCCTCATGGCTATAGTAGCTCTGGGAATCAGAGTTAGTACTATCTTTATCGCTGTCCCCAACACACACACACACACACACACACACACACACACACACACTAGTCTTAAGATATTATCATAAAGTATTCGTTCTTGTAAAAAAAACCAACATAATTTTGCATCCAAATAAATGGTATTTCTTTCAAAGTAGTGGCATTGAGGGTAGGGTGCTCTTTACAATGTTGTCATTGTTTGAAAGTTTTAGAAATTCTTTTGAAAAATTCTAGCAGAGCAACATATGAAGCTTTCGGAGCAATAAAAATAACTTGTGCGGCGGGGCGGGGGAAGATAACTTGAAAAGTAGGATGCCATCTCCTGAAATTTATAATTATGAATGCATCCTAGGGCCATTGTGAAGTATTTTCACTGTGTACTAAAACCCAAAGATTTGTGTTGAGGATATAGCTTGGTGGTTAAGAGTGCATGTTAATCCTTAAAATGTGGCATACACCTGTAACCCCAGGAATGGTGAGGTGAAGGCAGGAGGATTATAAATTCAATGTCATTCTTGTTTATATAATGAGTTCAAGATCAGAATGTCTCAAAGAAACAAACAGAGAGTCCAAAATGTTTTCAGAACCAAGTACAATGATAGCCACATTGCCAAGTTTGTCACAAAAAAAAAAAAAGGAAGGAAGGAAGAAGAAAGAAGTGAAGGAAGGAAGGAAAGGAGAAAGAAGAAAGAAAGGAAGGAAGGAAGAAAGAAAGAAAGGAAGGAAGGAAGGAAGGAAGAAAGAAAGAAAGAAAGAAAGAAGAAAGGAAGGTAATAGGGTCAAACACAATTGTGCCAATCCCTGTCTTTTAGAAGCTGAAATATGGGGTTAGAAAATTCAAGATAAGGCTAAGCTACATAGCAAGCCCTATCTCAAACTAACTAATGCATGTATGTACACACAGACACACACTGAAAGAGATGGGACTGCTTTGCGGAATAAGCTCCAACAAGACCCCCAAGAGAATTAGCGAAGTTACCCAGCTGAGTGAAATGTGTTGTGGGGGATGAAGTGGAAGGGAGCAATACAGCCCTTGAGTGAGCAGCCAGATTTAGCTCTATAAT